CCTGTGATCTAGCAATACTCCTCCTAGAAATGTACCCTATGCATATTCAGTAATGACCAACAAGATTTGCATAAGGATGTTCATAGCATTGTTTGTACAGCCATTTGAATCGATCTGAGCATCTATCAAGAAATTAAACTTATGTGGCTCAAGTGGTACAGTGCCTACTTCCTAAGTGCTAAGTCCTGAGTTCAGACCCCAGGACCACCAAAAGAAAATTATGGTTTATCTTTATGATGCAGTAGTCATGGATAAAAGAATGAGGTAGACTGGGATGTGCTGCAATAGAAACATTGCAAGGTGAAAAAACAAGCCACAGAATGTATGGTGCAACCCTGCTGGTAATAACAAAATGTGTATGAATATTCAAATACACATTTGCCTCCCAGAAGAAAACACAAGAAATTGAACAAGGGCAGCTATTGGTTTGAAGGGGCTTTTCTTTTTTCTCAGACAAGATCACATATAGCCCAGGTTAGCCTCCAACTCAGAATCCTCCTGCCTCAGCCTCCTGAGTGCTGAGGTTATAGGCTCATGCCACACCTGGCTTGAGGGAGCTTTTCTCATGGGAAAGAGATTGTCAAAAATTATTTTAGATTTTCCTCATAATATTCCTCATAACTTTTTTTCTTTTTTTGAGACGGTCTCACTGTGTTGCCCAGTCTGGCTTCAAACTCTTAGGTTCAAGTGCTCTTTCTGTCTTGGCCTTGCTACCTGGGGCTACAGGTGCACATCACATTGCTGGCTTTGTTGCAATTTTGAATCTTTACTTTTACTCTTTTGTTTAGTTCCCCTTTTGTACATAACTCTTTTGGATGCACAATGGCATACCTGACTACACCTGGGGAAAATCTGATGCAGGCTGGCCTCAGGTATAGAAGAGACATCCTTTGAGTCCTGGGAGGACAATAGAGGAGGTTCTTTTCAGACATTCTGTAATTTTCTAAAGCCCTTTTAGCTTCCTGCTCATCCCCTTCCCTCAAATACAGCCACTCTGTGAGTCAGTGATTTTAGACATAAATTTCACACTTGGTATCTACTTATCCCTACTAAATGATCACACATCAGTGAATGTAAGCATTGCTAGCAAACCCAACAGTGGAAAACCTCCCATAAAATAATCTTGAAAACAAATGTTCTTTAGATTACTAAAGCACATCTTTATTTTGCAGTTAACATTAAGAATCACAGCTAGAATTTTTTTCACATTTGAACTTGAACAACTATTCAATCAAAATGAAATATGGCCAACAAAATATGTGTGACAGCATTTCACAGAATATAAATTGCTCTTAGGACTAAAGCAGTTTTAATGCAAACCAGCATTTCTAAAAAATCCTGTTTGCTGTTGGTATTTGCAAATTTTTTAAAAAACCATGAATGCCAGGAATTCCAATTTTTCACTGCAATTAAGACAAACACACAAGGCCTTCAAACACAAGCTGCAGTGACAAGTGCATAGTGACAATTTCAAATGATACAGTCTTGACCAAATTCAAGCTTATGCATTTTAAGTCAACCTTAGCTTCTTTGCCTCTTAATTATGAGAGCAAACCACATGAAAATATTTTTGTGAGCTTGGAAGAAAAGGTAGTCTACAAAATTAAGGGACTGATTCCATTTTGCTGCTAGATCAGTACAAACAAACACAAAATGGCAACAGAAATGTAAAATCCTATTTTAATTAGGAATAAACCTTTAAGCAACTTTCTCCTTTCATATTTACATATAGCACCTGTTACAAGAAAAAAATTCCCAAATTAAAATACCCTCTACATAGAAATAATTCTTTAAAACTACTGTTCAAAAATATTGATGACTATATAATAAACTATCAGTCCTAAAATTAAACCTACACTGTAGAAAATAAGGACTAGCTTTTCTTCTCCGAAAAGATCACAACACAGATCATAACTGCAGTGTTCTGTTGCAGCCCAACACTGGGTTGGACAGCTTTTATTTTCATTTTTAGCAGATATATTCTACTGGCAGAAAATGAAAACAGCTTAATATAAACTGTTTTAACACCCTTAAATCCTGCCCTTTGTCATATATATAAACTGCTGGGACTTTTGTCCCCTTAATCTTATTTGTGAAAATAGATAACACACTGAAAACAAGCAGATTTCCAAGTATTCATGTAAAGTACACAAAATGCAAAGCAGAAATGATTTTAGAAAATCAGGCTTAGTTGAATCTAGCTGAGAGAACTCAGAGTCCAACAACACAGTCAACTGGGTAGCCTTTATTGTGTCATATAACTTACAGAAAATGGCAAAGCTAAAATCACAAGTTACTTCTTAAATATCAAATAAGCTCTCAAGAGATCATTGTAAAGCATTTAAACTTGGGTCCAATCTAATGAGTTCTAACTAATCAATTCAACTTTTTCTGTATTTACAGGATAAGACTAGGATAAGACTGTATTTTTAAGTGTATAAATTAAGTCAGTAGTAAGCATGAAATAAAGTGCTATTTGAAATTGAAGAAATCAATTTTAGCACTGAGATTTTGATCCACTCTACAGAATAATATTGCCAACTTGCTGAAGGAGGGAGATAATGGGTGCCAGAGAATCACAAAATCGGATGTAGTTTACTTGCCCAGGAAGGCAAATAACTGCAATATTACAATTCAAGAGTAGAAACAAAAAAGTTTATTTGAGTGAAAGGTAAAATGGGCCCAAGTATGCATGTGGGGAAACCACAAATTAGCAACTATTTGGGTTAAGGGTTAGGCAGGGCTATTTCCTCCTTGATGGCTTCCTGGAAATAATTTTATTTAGCAATGTGGCATTTAAGGTTATCAGAAGTAATAACGCTAAATTTTGTTAACCACTGGGATTGAGGGAGTCTGAAACTAATTCAACAGCTGTAGCAAAAGTTGATGAAGGAAGAGATTGACTTTTCCTTGTTCAAGATATTTACCTCACAGAGTGAAATTAGTGACTCTTGGTTGGAAAAGTTGGAGGGTTGGAAGCATAAGTCAAAAATGATATAATCCCAAGTGAATCAAGTTTAATGAGTGAGAGTAAGTATTATCTTTTTAAAGTTGCTGCTGAACAAATTAATCATGCCTACAGAAGTTGGTTTAAAATGGTTTCTGTTTAAGTCACCTCTGTGAGTCAGAGTTGGGCCCAGTGGGCTTACTTGTCCAAGACACTGACAACAAAAAGGCAAAACCACTTGTTAGGTCAGAGGCCTCTGCACACTACTGCAATGAATCTTAGGCACGGTTTTCTGGCTTTACCAAAGTCACATTCTCACAATGATTTCCTCACTGGTGGCTTCCACAGGGACAAAGCTTGGGAACTTTCCTCCATGGTAGACATATGCAGCTGCACATTCATCCTTACATACAAACCACACAAACACCCTTCCCACCCCAGAGGTCTATACTTCAAATATTTTACACTTCAAAATAGTATGTTTGACTTTTCTGGAAGATTTTTAGAGTCAAAACAAAGCAATATGAAAAAGAATGTATATTGCATTTGAAATATGCTTCAATAATGACTGTGTTTATAATGAAAACTATGCTCTAAAATTGCATTTGCAAAATGATGTGTAATGCTCTTTTCTTCTTTCCAATCCTGTGAATTTTTTTTTTTTAACAAACAAGTATTCTTAGAATTAAGTCTCAACTCTAGTAACTTTTGAAAGATACATTCATTTTCTTTACAGCATGAAAGACATACAAATACTATTTTATCCCTTTTAAGCAGTGAAATTAAAGTTAACAGTTTCAACCTTCTGTCCATAGAAAAATATTTTCTATATATCATTTACACAATACATAGGAAAACTCTACAGTGTTTAACTGAAACTTTTATGAGCTTATCAAGACTTTCATTTTTATTCTTGTACTTGACATTTTCAAAGCCTTCAGAAGTTAAATGTTTCAACTCTTCTCTAAAATTGTAGTCCTTAACTTATAATATTGCTAATAGCTTTCCCTTTGCAAATTAAAATTGGTTCACTTATTCTGCACTGAACCATGACTAACTAATGCTGATGGATTGAATCCCAGCAGATATTAGCTTGGATGACTAAAATAAAAATAATTTCTCAAAACTTCAGAAGTCAGCAGTATACTACAGAAGGAAAACATGAAAATAAGTAGCAGCAAATTTATTATATATGAAAACAAATAGCTTTTTGGTGTCTATCTAAAACAAATTCACCATATGAAAATAAAATGTCTAAATTAATTTTGGCAGAAATAGGGGTTGCTGTTTGCTTCTGATAACATTGAAAGGCTTATTGTGATAATTGTTATTAAGAATAAATGAAATCTGTATATAGTAAAAATTATGTTGGCAATAGTAGTCATGGTAAAGAAAGTTGAACTAAAGATGTATAATTTGGGGATTTATTGGACTCTTAAAAACTGATGAATTATCTATGATGGGTTAGCCCTCAAAATTGTTTTAGTATAACATGAATTCCTTTGCATCTTACAATTCTCTAAGAATTTTGTAACATAGTTGCTACAACTTGTGGTCACACTGGGACACCAATAAATTTTTGCCAACAGATCAGTAATTCCAGTATTTGATAAAATGAGCCCACTATCTTTACTTGGAGGAAGCCGTCACAACAGACAGTGCTAGAAGTTGTGGTTGGATAGCAGAAGCAAATATAGGACGTTAGCAGTGTCAGTACAAAGTACTTGCCTTGTTGATGCAACAGCTTGCATTAAAGCAGGCTGTGGCACTATTTATCTATGTCTTCTCATATTACTGAAATGTTTATTCTAACAAGCATTTACCCTAATGTATTTACTATAAATGACTTAAATGAAAATTCACCTGAACTACAAAATAACTATAAAACAAGAGCCTGTAAACATATCCCACATTATTGTGGTATAAATAATTTTTATCAATTCAAAACTACTTTGGCAATCTTACCATCAGAATATTTTAAATATTCAAAATACAGATATTAAATAGCACTGTTATAAATTCATGTTTCTTTCTCCCTTCCTGATAAGATTATAAAACAAGTAATGTTTTAATCCTATTATATGTTTGCATTATGAACATAAATTATTTCACTATAAGTGAATATGTCCTGAATCTTAGTTCTATATTTTAAGTGCTTTAAAAGTAGTTTTCTACTTGCAGTCCCGAATGTTTCCATACTGCATGCTTATCAGCCAAACTACCTTCCGAAAGCTATGCTGTCAGGGAAGCATGACTAGCCAACTGAGTCAGAGTCCTAATTAGGATTGCTCTAATGCCTACTTATTTTCTAACTTAAATGACACCGCCTAAGGTTGTCATAGTAATGAAGTGAAAACAACACTGCCTGAGTATGCTTCCCTAGTGAAAATTCACAAGCATTTGCTGTTCACACAGGTTACAATTTATTTCAGTACTAGTATAATATAGAGAACACTATATTGAGAATTAGAAATCTCAATGATACAAATTAGATTGTAGAAGACTAGATTCTGCTAAATCAATTACCATTGCTGGACCTCTGTTTCTGTTTGTTTCTTTGCCTATATAATAAGGGAAATAGAGAATGGATAAAATCTTTCAACTTCCTTATAGCGCTTAAGTTGTAGTACTTCTAGTGAGACCTGGAGACTTTTGCTCAAAATACCTGATAATTTCATCAGACATACCAACAAATGATAAACGATCATGGTTAAAAGAGTTCATTCTCTCTGTGGGCATTAGCCTTTATGAAATGCACATGTAAGTACGCTAAAGTATCTCTATGTATATGTATATATTAGTACCTGAACCCTTCAATGGATGGTCTTAATGGCTTACTTTATGCATTTGATGTCAATTTTCACAAAAAATCAAAATAATAAAGTATTTCCCTTCCTACGTGTCCTAGTAGGCCATACAAAGGAAAATTTTCTTAGACTGTTTGCCTTGATTTTGAATGGATGCATTGGTTTAAAAACTCCAACCAGTTCTTGTGAATGTAAAGTCTATTCTAACATATTCCTCTCCTCACTGTCTCTTCAGTGCTAACACAAATCAGATGCTCAGTAAAACACGTGAAATGAACAAAGAAAAATCATTCTAAATCAGAGGGAAGTTTTTCACCAACACTTCTCAGCATTTACAAAAGAGCCCCTTGGTTCTTCAATATTGATTTCTATTTGTCAGAATAAAAGCATTCTTTCTTTAGTGTATAGGGGTATGGGTTTAGCGGTGGTGAAGGGGAGGAGAGTAGCTTAGATACAATTTGTTTTTTTATCACACAATATTACATTGATATGGATAGAGCTTAGAATGACTTAGTGTATGAAAGCTAGCATTATTTCTAGAAATTTACTTATTTGATAAACAGGTTAAAAAACTCCTGGTGTAATGGATAGTCTTATCTGGTGGGTAAATAGGGAAGCTTAAGTAGCATACGCATTTAAAAAATTGTGGATCCTAATAAACATGCTTTAAAAAAGGATCTTTTCTGCACACAACAATACTGATAGAGGAGAGCTCCTAGATGAGAAGATCATGTCTGATAATTTAAACGTGAGTTCACACTTCTACTACTGTCATTTAAAGACAGGCATGAATGATTTACAAAGGCAGCAGTGCTCATTGCCAGCAGTTAACAGTTAACCTCAGAGTCATAAACAAATCCCTACATCAGTGAACAAGTGAACCATGGCATCTGCCTGTGAATGGCTACACAACTGTTCTCTTTTTGACCATGGCTTTCATATTCTGTTCGTACAGTTACAACAGCCTTTATTTTTAAATTTAGGCTAAAACAACAGCCTTTTGAAACAGTTATTTAATATGCAGACCCCCCCAACATGATTTTCCTTTGCAATCTGTCATATCACACAGCAGCCTAATCACATTTGTCTGTTGGGAGAGAATGGAATGTTCAAATATGACGATCTTATACTGTCTTGACTGTGAAATTAGGAAACAGATAAAGAGAATTCTTTTTGACATAAAGGTTATGTTTACTTCTCTCTTTAAAAGAGACAAAATATTTAAATATGTCATTTATTTGGTATCTTGGCTATTAATATTCAGGAGCTTAATTTCCTGAAATTTATTATTATGGAATTTGAATATGTGAAATGACATCATCTAGATTTTACTAAAGATTTTTAAATATACAGTTTTCCTGTCATACTAAATTGCATTCCAAAATATCTACTGCTGGATGCTAAACTTTATCAAAACTATACATAAATATTGAGAAACCACTAGGAAAGGAATCTATTTTAACCACATCCCTATTAAATAATTATGTAAAATAACATTTCAGTATTTGAACAAATTTTCACTTATATTAAACTGAGCAATTTTAAAGTTCTATCTCTGTAGATTTAAAAACAACAACAACAAAAAACCCAAAGAGAAAATATACATATCCTTAAATGGGAATCAGAGCCTCATTCAGGCTGGACAGTCCAAAGTCTCCTTATTAACGTGCTTATAACTTAAGTATATATAAATGGAGTCATCTAGTTGTATATAAAAAAAATGACAAGAATGCCCTCATTTTACTACAGAGGGGTTCCATTTAGAAATAAGTCAATAGTATTTAATTCCTGTTTGAATCCAAATGAAAAGAACAATGTGAAGAAAGCTTGCTATTAACTGAAGTGAGTGCTGAAGGCTAATACTTGAGTTATGGATAGGAGTAAATCACAGCTAATTAACTGCACTCTAACTTTAGCTTAGAGTAGCAATATGTTTATCTTTAATATGCATGTTAGACACTACTTCTGAAGTTAGGGGTACCATCTTATGAAATTTGAAGAATAAAGCATTTTTAAAGTTAAGCTGCTAAACTGTAACCCCTGTCCCTCAGCAAAGGAAGTATGGATTCTGAACAATTCCATAGCAGCACAGCGCGCACTCAACAGAACACAAATTTTCTCTTGGCTTCTTATGGCAAAATGCAAGTGCTGAGCAAGAAACAGAATTTCCTTGCCCTTCTTTGACTGCATAATTCTCAATACAAGAAGCTGTTATTTAAAATGTGAACTTACTCAAAATGCATAAAAATGTAAGAATGTACAATATACACACATACCTCCTAGTGGGGTCAAATGAGTGCCTTTTCAGTAGACATACAAAGATGTCTCAAGGCACTTAAGGGGTTAAGACACAATGCATGCATTCCTTTACATCAAGTATGTGAAATCACATGATTTGGAATAAGCCAACCTTATAATAAATATAAATTATGTTATTAGCTCCAAGAACATTTGTAAATTCCTATTTATACTTTCTATAAGATGCTGGTAAATGGACAATGTGCAGCATTTCCTGGGAATAGTATATCCCACCTTTCTTCTGAACAGCAGGTCTTTAGAGGGAGTGTAGGGAAAGATGTGCTGCATCCATAGGCAGTGTATTGGCTAATACTGAGAATGATATTGCTAAAATTTAAGAAATAAAACCTGGTAATCAGTACAGTCAGTACATGAACCACTGGGAAAGATCAGAGCTGACTCCTCATATTTACTTCTTTTTGCTTCCAAGATACAGGTGTATAACAGAGATGAGGAGAATTCTGAGCCTTGTTTGTGGCAATTTTACCAGAAAGGAACTGCATGGCACCACCACAAATTTTCATAAATTACCCTGAACATACTCAGTTATTCACTATTTGTTCGGAGCAAAGCATGAAATAGTCTTCAAACATATGAGTTAGAGATTTCGAAAGAGTGACTCTTTTTTAAGCATAAAGTGCAACAGTGCTGAAGTTTTCAAAGTTTTTTTGAGTTCTTCATTCTTTTGTGAGATGCCATTTTCTGCAAGCAGTATTATGGCACTGTGATTAGACGAAAAGCAGTTTTCCAACACATTTCCTAAGACTTTTTATTTTCTTATTTATTTGATGATGTAGTTAATGGTTTAACAAAGCCTTCTTCATAAACTTTCAAAATAGCTTCACATACAAATCTGTATTGACTCTGAAAAATAAAATATAAAAACAATTATTAGAAAACCAAAAAAATCACAAGCATCTCACTTGTCTTGCTTACAAAAGAAATGTTATGTAAAAAAACAGATATACCAATTTTATCAACAGTTGGGCAAAACAATAAAAAAGTCTGTCAATATATTTTGTTGGCAAAACTTAACTCATACACTTCTAGAAGGAGTATTAAAAAAACTGCAACCCCTATCAAAGAAGAATTTGAGAGCATCTAATAAAATTTGATTTACTTGGGTCACACCACCAACCATGTATTGTGTTGGGTATTTCCTTTTTCTTTTATTTATTTATTTTGGCAGTACTGGGGTTTTAACTCAGAGCCTACACCTTGAGCCATTCCACCAGCCATTTTTTGTGATGGGTCTTTTTGAGATAGGGTCTTGTGAACTATTTGCCTGAAACTGGATTCGAACTGCAATCCTTCTGATCTCTGCCTCCTGAGTAACTACGATTATAGGCATGAGCCACCAGTGCCCAGCTGTGTTGGGTATTTTCAAGATAGGGTCTAGCTAACTATTTGCAAAGATAAGGGATCTCAGCCTCCTAAGTATCTGGGATTATAGACACGAGCTATTGGCTCTGGGCAGTATCAAGAAAACAGTGGAAACAATCCAAATTGCCATAGATAAGGTGAGTACTCTGTGGGATGGTCTCACAATACAATACTATCTAGCTGGGACAAAAAAAGTAATAAAAGTCTACAGATACTATAGAATGATTCCAGATTATATTAAGAAAAAAAGAAAGGTATATAAAGTATATACAACATACTATCTTTATAAAAGACAAGGGAGAAGCATAAATATCAATCTATTTCATATTTTTTTTAAAGTGGGGAGACAAATCTTTAGGAAATGGTTTCCTATAAAGGGACGGAGGGGAAAGGGAGCAGGAAAGGACTGAACTTCATTAAATATACTGTCCTTTCATATATTTTACTTTAGAACTGTGTGAATATATTACTTTATATTTGTATGTTTACATTATAAAATTAACTCCCAAAACTTCTAAAAATCAAAAATATCATAGAACATATCAATGTGTGTATCTAGTTGATGACATATCCACACCGAAGGGGGTTATTTCAAGGAACTTTAAGACAGTAATTTGATTGTCTGTCTCTGTAGATATACCCAAAGGTCAAAAAAGAACTGTGGAAAAATTGAAAACTCTTTTCAGTAACCATACTGCTTATGATGGTATTGTTGTGTTTTTATCCTGACACTGGCTATGCAGTATGAAATAAAACAAAAGAGTACATGTGATATTCTTAGTCTTTTGTTGCTGGTATTATCAAGAACCAGTGTTCTTGTTAATGAAGAAAGGGGATAAAGATAGAAGACAGAAGAGGGTAAGTAAAAACATCATGTACCTGAAACAGTGTTAACTCATAATAAGTGTATTTTCCTACCTTTGGCAATTGAACATTTCTAGATACAAATATTACTCAATGCCACCTAAACCCCAAGTGCTCAGAGGGTTCTGCCTAAAACCAATTATCAATAAAAAGAACCAGGATTTTTTTTTTTTTTTGAGAAATTACTGATTTCAAATCTGGGACACAAAATGTATAAACCAGGCCTGGAAATCTTTTCTGATAGCCAAGGAAGCTAGTAAGTTATTAGTGTTTTGATGAAAGGTCTCAGAAGCCAAGGTGAATAGGTTCACACTGGCCAAAAATGGGACAATTCTGGACATCATTAAGAAAAATAACTATAATGGGTTGAAACACATCAAATATGTTTAAATCCATGATTCTGAAATAATACCAAAACAAACAAAAGTAGTTGTAACTGGAAGAAGCTAGTAAGCCAACTTATATTGAAAACTTGGGCTGGGGTATAGCTCAGTGGTAAACTGAATAAGCAGCATGCTGTGGGAGGTCCTGGGTTCCATCCTCAGCACTGCAAAACAAAACGAAACGAAACGAAACCAAATCAAACAAAACCACTGGTAACTAAAGGGAAGCAAGTGTTTATCTTGCCTTTTAGAGAAAACACTGTCCCATTTGTTATGAGTTTCTCTTTAAAGAATTATTTCAGTTACTAAATGAAGAAAGACACATTTAGAACATCATAATTTTGGAAGCCCAGTGAATTAATGGATACAGGCACTGGCCACCCGAGGGCACTAACATCACAAAACACAGACAATGAGACATTATGTGCTTCTGGAAGAAAGAATATGCCACCTAACCTGCCCCTGCGCTTATGGATTCATTATCATGTTAGAAATACAGAGAGTACCCACTGAGGCTACACATGAACAAAATCTAAACTTTGGGAAATTTTTTTGTTGTATGAATCCAGGGCTTAACACTTGGCTACACTTGGCTACAGTTTGAGCCAACTCTGGGAAATGAAATGGCACAAATAACCTGGTTGATTCACCAAAGAAATTAATTGTATGAAAAAAAGAGATGAGGAGAAAGCTACTGATTAGAAGAGATTTAGGGAACAAAAACAAATCAAATGGGTGGATTATTACTTGAATACTTAGTACTTTTTTCTGGTTGTTTGGCAGGACTAGGGTTTGAACTTAGGGCCTCATGCTTGCTAGACAGGTACTTTATCACTTGGGTCACCTGACCTGTGTGTGTGTGTGTGTGTGTGTGTGTGTGTGTGTCACTGGTGCCTGGGTAAGGATTTGGAGGGCTTTTATTTTGTTTTTGTTGTTGGACTGGGGTTTGAATTCAGGGCTTCACACTTGCAAAGGAGGTGCTCTACCACTTAAACCATACCTCCAGTCACAATGGAATATAATTCAAAGGCAATTCTGCCATATGCTACAACATGGATAAACCTTGAGTACGTTAAGAGAAATATGAAAAAGACACATACTGTATGATTCTACTTCTGTGACTATCTAGAGTAATCAGACTCGGAGAAACAGAAAGTAAAATGGAGGGCTGGTGAAGTAGTTCAAGTGGTAGAGTACCTTCCTAGCAAGTGTGAGGCCCTCCAAGTTCAAACCCCAGAACTGCAAAAAAAAAAAAAAATTTTTTTTTTCAAAAAGGATGAAGTGATTTCAAAGAGGAACAGAGTTGGATATTCATATTTCCTGTTTTAAATTTTACAACGAATTAATTAAGGCAGCGTGGTACCAGCATATAGATCAGTGGAATAAAATTGAAAGTTCTATTGGAAACCTTTACATTTTGGTCAACTTTTTTTTTTGAAAGAGGCTCCAGACAACTGAATATGCCTATGCAAATAGTGAAGACGGAATCCTATCTCAAACCATCTCTAAAGATTAACTCAGAATGGGTAACAGTCCCAAATATGTGAGCTAAAACTATTAGGAAAGAGAAGTAAACCTTGGTGACCCTGGCTTAGGCAATGATTTCTTAGCTATACAACAAAAGCAAAAGCAGCAAAGAAAAAAGATACACTGGACTTCACCAAAATTAAAAACTTTTGGGCTTTAAATCTTTATAATCAAGAAAGTGAAAAGACACAATGTTGCAAATCATAGTTTTCATAAGGGACTTATATCTAGGATATACAAAGGAGTGATGGAAAGACATCTCATGTCCATAAATCAGATAGTAAAATGTCTATACTACCAAAAGCAATCTGTAGATTAAATGCAATTCCTATCAAAATCTCCATGTCACTTTTCACAGAAATAGAAAAGCCAATCCTAAAATTCATATGGAAACATAAAAGACCCTGAATAGCAAAAAAAGAGAAAGAAAAAGAGCAATGCTTGAGGTATCACAATATCTGACTTCAAATTATACTACAGAGCCATACTAACAAAACAAGCATGATACACAAAATTAGAGAGGTAGACCAATGGAATAGGACAGATGACCAATAAATCCACAAAGCTATAGTCATCTGATTTTTGATAATAGTACTAAAAACATACACCAGAGAAAAAAATAAGTCTCTTCAACAAATGGGTGTTGGGAAAACCACATGTCCACACGTAGAAGACACAAAGAGCTCTATCTCTCACCTCGTCTGAAAATAAATTCGAAATGTACCTAAGATCTAAATAAAAGACCTAAAATTTTGATACTACTACAGGAAAACATAGGAAGATACTTGAAGATGCAGGCAACTCTTTTCTGAATAGGACTCCAACTGCCCACTATGTAAGAGCAAGAATCCCATGACCAAATGGGATTTCATTAAATTAAGAAGTTTTTGCACATCAAAGGAAACGATTAAAGACAATCCCCAGAATGGAGAAAATCTTTGCCATCTTTTCATCAGATAAAAGATTAATATCTAGAATATATAAAGAGCACAAAGAAACACAAGAATAAATGATTAAAGTACATTATATATGTGTATATATATTTATGTGTGTATATAAATATGTATATTTATGTATATATGAAGATAGCAAAATGAAACCCACTTAACACTGTTTGGAAAGGGAAGGGAACTTAAGAGAGTAAAGTAGAGGGGGTAAACTTGAACAAAGTACATTGTACATATTTATAGAAGTATCACAGCGAAATCCCATTACAATTATTTTATGCTATTAAAAAAAAGTCATTTTATCTATCCTGTTGTAGATTTTCAAAGACTGTTGAACCTCTCTTGATGTCTTCTAACAGCTGGTAGGAAGACATCTCTGTTTATTAGGGAGGCCATTCTGGTTCTCTAACTCTGCCAGTGAGGAAGCTCTTCAGAATGCTTGTTCTACTTCTTTCGATACATTTTTATAAAAAAAAAAAAAAATCACTGTAAGAACAGAGAAAAAGAAAACCCTAAAGCAAAAAGGGCTGGGGAGAGTAGCTCAAGTGATGGAGTGCTTGCCTAGCAAGTGCAAGGCCCTATGTTCAAACCTCAGTACCATCAAAGGGGGGTAAAAAAGATAAAACTATAATTTAGAGCCAGGCTTGGTAGTGCATGCCTATAATCCCAGCTCTCGGGAGGCTGAGGCAGAAAAATTGTGAGTTTGAAACCAGCCTGGTTACATAGTGAGACCCTGTCTCAAAAGAAAAAAAAAAAAAGAGTGTGTGAGGTATGTATATGTGCCTGCATGGCACATGCATGTGTGTATATGTGTGATTTACAATACATACAAAAAATGAAGCCCATCAGGTTGAAGACAGACGTGTGTACATGAAATAGAGTACTCACAGGTGTTTGGATCATCATGGCTCGTTGATCTCTCATTGTTCTGACTATGTCTAGTGGATAAACTGGCTGATTGCATTCAATGAGACACATGGCTGTTTCCATAGTAATAAGAACCCCAGTCCTTCCAATCCCAGCACTAAAAAAAGACAAATGGGCAAGGTCTTAGTCTTATAATTATATTTACTTCTTGTGGCTTTTGTGAAAGAAAAAAAAAAAAAGAAATCAAAGTACATAATTATACAGAAGAACAACAATTTTATTTTAAGGTTTTATGCAGCAAGTCAACTTTTTTCTATTTCTTTTTTGGTGGGTCCAGGGTTTGAACTCAGGGCTTCATACTTGCAAAGCAGGAGGTCTACCCCTTGAGCCACACCTCCAGTCCACTTTGCTTTGGTTATTTTGGAGATGGGGGTCTCATGAACTATTTGCCTGGGATGGCCTCGAACAGCAATCCTCCCAATCTCAGCCTCCCAAGTAGTTAGGATTATAGACGTGAGTCACCAGTGTCCGAATGCAAGTTAACTTTTGAACAAGGTTTATAAGTTTATTGGAACAATCTCCCTTAAAATGCAAAATAACAGAATTACAACAATAAATCATTAATGAATGCACAAAAGACAACATTTTACTCCTTAAATAAGTTAGTCTTTTAAACAAAATTTGATCTTTTTTTGGTGGCACTGGGGTTTGGACTCAGGACCGCAGGCTTGCTAGGCAGATGCTCTTTCCACTTGAGCTACTCTGCCAACCTAACAAAATTTAATCTTAATTAAGCTTCAACACATCAAGAACAAATTTTGGAAATATAATCTGTAAATATGAATATAGTAGCTATTGGAAACTTTACAATATAAAATGGCCAAATGTGTTTTTCCATTCATGACATTTTGCCTTTTAACTATTTGGTCTACAATCTGCTTTGATGATTTCAAAGTCAACTCTTAATATGTGCTGAAAGTTTGACGATAAATGGTATGTCATTATATCCTTGGAATATTCACTTAAAAATATTGCCACAATAAGGGGTAATGGTTTCTGTCTCCTGATCTCTAGGTGTCAGTGAATGTTGGACTCACATTCCTTGATTTGAAAGGAAGGAAGGAAGGAAGGGTTCTGCTGTTCATCTAAAGTACTTGGGAGTGTTATATCCTGTAATGACTTTGGTAGGGTCATTCCAGGAAGAGCTGAGAGTACTCAGTAACTCTAAGAGGGGCCAGGCAAGGAAGGAGCACCTTGCAGAGAAGGATGGAATTTAAAGCTCAGACTGTACCCTAGTGATTATATTATGATCTGAATGTGTATCTCAAATTTCATATTGAAACTTCATTTCCAGTGTAAGAGTACTAAGAGGTGGGACATTTAGGAGGTAATTAAGCCATAAGGGTAGGCCTTTCCAAAGAGCATGAGGGAGTGGACTCACCTCTCTGTCCCTTCTATACCTTCTGCCATATGAGGACACAGTATTTGCCTCCTTTGGAGGATGGAGTAATAAAGCATCACTTAAAAGCAGAAAACAACCCTCACCTGACATCATATTTACAGATGCTTTGATCTTGGACTTCTCAGAACTTTGAGAAATAAACTTCTGTTCTTTACAAATTACCTAGTTTTTCATCAGATCTAAGTTGCAATCAATGGCAGGATGCATTCTAATTTCAAAGGTGTTAAAATATGAAAAGCTAAGAATCAGCACCTATTATTTTTTATCTTTTGTCATAGTTTCTGTCAATCGTTATGTTGGAACATACTCTTTGCCTTTTACCTTCAGAGTATAGCTTTGAGTTCTAATTATCACATAATGACAAAATAAAATAAAATATAAAACATGTATTCCCAAATGATGTAACTCCTCAGTTATTCATTCATAAAAGATAGGAAATGAAATACCTGCAATGAACAACAATAGGTTCTTCCTTTCCAGCCCTCTTGTTACGTACATGACAAACAAAATCCAGAAAGTCACTTGAATCGTCAGGGACTCCATGGTCAGGCCAGGCTGTGTACTGGATCTGAGTGAGTTGACGACTCTCATTTTTCTAGGTGCAAATGAAAAATTATGAATCTTGACTTAGGAATTATCTTTAAATATAAATATTCATGTCATTTTAACTTTAGAAGGAAAGCAACTACTTTCCCTCTGCCCCCAAAGTAATATATAAACTCAATGAAACGCACCTTCAATAAAAAGGAAGAAACCATTTCATAGAAACTTGTATCATTTGAAGCACTGGCTACTTGTATCACTACTCTTCCTATGTCTTGATTGCTTTACTTTTCATTATCCTATTGTTGTGACGTTTACAAAAGTTCTTACAATATATCATAGTTAAATTCACCCCCTACATCATTCTCCTTTATCCCCCCCAATCCCTCTTCCTTCCTTTCTTAGAATTGTTTCAATAAGTCTCATTTTTCCACCATATTCACCCTCTTACACTTTTTCCTTATATCCTCCTCCCTCCCACTGGTGCCAAACCAGACAGAATCTATTTTACCTTCCTGTTGTCAATTTTTGAAAAAAAAAAAAAGACTTGTTTAAGATAGCTATACAGGGAGTTTCACTGTGACATTTCCATGTTTGTGTATATATATATATATGATAACCTGAATTGGTTCATTCTATTTTTCTGATTATAAATGAGCAAACAAGCAGAAACAAATTAAGATCAGAGAAATACTTAAAGAACTAACTAAAAGAATTGTTAGTGGGGGCTGGGGACATAGTAGATCTCCTGCTTAGCTAGTGTGAGGCCATGAGTTCAATCCTCAGTACCAGCAAGAAAGAAAAAAAAAATTGTTAGGTGAGCAAAAATGGTAAAGTAAAAACCTTTGTGTGCATGCATACACAAAATTGGGTTAATCCTGACATGACACAAATGAAATTTTGGAAATTAGACAAAAAATCTTTATTACATATAGATTAAAAACTGGAGATTATAAAACAAAAAGTCAAACCAAGGATTAATTTTTTTTTGGAGCCAATGATTGATATAATGGAGAGAGTAAGAGTACTGGATTTGGACACATCTTGGTTCAAATCTTGACTCTGACAGTTAATAGCACTTAATATTGCAGACCCGTATTTCCTTTATTCAAAAAATGAAATAACATCTTCACCTCTATGGGGCAATGTTATGTTGAAAAGATTCTATGAGATGACTTGTGAATCATCCAGCTACATGGTATCATATGCTCAATAACAGGACCTAGTCATTTTCTGGCTACTACCATTTACATTAAGAGAGCTTCCAGAAAAGACCAAGAAAGTAAAAGGTACACAAAACCAAGTGTAGTATCTGCCTGTCTGGTGTCCACCAATGCATGTGTGCATTTATGTATAGTGCCAAATTTATTTTCTCAATTATATTAGGTTCAAACTTTAGAAACCAATTTGTCTTAGCATAGTTCTGAGGTACTCAGAATGTATAAAGAAAAGTCATTATGGTATATAAAACTGACATGGCTAATCTACAGGTCAAATACAATAAAGACTATGCTGCAGATATAAATTATTTTATATAAACACACAGGCTATTTTTATTATATATGTGAGAAAATGAAGAACTATCTTACTGGCTCAACCTACAGGCCAATACACTAGGCCAAGAGCATACAGTTTTGGCCTAAACTCTAAATTCATTCTGATTGGAATGAATTTTAACTTTTTGTTTCCTGTAATTTTAGCTTCACTCAATGCCAGAATACTTTTCTATGTGTTAACACAACTTCTGGCTCCTTCTCTATTGGTCACAAAGGTCTTAACTCACTACCTTTACTCATACTCTCGGGTTAGGGGTATAGTTCCCATTTCCAGAGGTTCAGTCACTGATGAGAAAGCCTGGGTTTCCATAGCCTGTGCTGCTTGCTCTTTTCTAGCACTTTCTTCTTCTTTTGGCCCCTTTTAAAACCACAGGTAGCTGGCAGGAGAATATGAAGCTGTGGGCTGTGAATATGGGGTATACTCTCTCACCAGCCTGAAGGACTGGTGGCATGATGCCCTTTACATGTGTATCCCTGTTGGGTTACTGAACCATCATTTATTAATTAGTTTTCACTTATGGCTTTGGAAGCCAAGGGGAGTGATCCAGGTAGAAGCAAGAAGAGCTTGCAGTTAGAAAGCTCCAACTGTATACCCAAAAGACTGTGACACAGGTTACTCCAGAGGCACCTGCACACCCATGTTTATTGCAGCACTATTCACAATAGCCAAGTTATGGAAACAGCCAAGATGCCCCACCACTGACGAATGGATTAAGAAAATGTGGTATCTATACACAATGGAATTTTATGCAGCCATGAAGAAGAACAAAATGTTATCATTCGCTGGTAAATGGATGGAATTGGAGAACATCATTCTGAGTGAGGTTAGCCTGGCCCAAAAGACCAAAAATCATATGTTCTCCCTCATATGTGGACATTAGATCAAGGGCGAACACAACAATGGGATTGGACTTTGAGCACATGATAAAAGTGAGAGCACACAAGGGAGGGGTGAGGATAGGTAAGACACCTAAAAAACTAGCTATCATTTGTTGCCCTTAACGCAGAGAAACTAAAGCAGATACCTTAAAAGCAACTGAGGCCAATAGGAGAAGGGGACCAGAAACTAGGGAAAAGGTTAGATCAAAAAGAATTAACATAGAAGGTAACACACACGCACAGGAAATCAATGTGAGTCAATGCCCTGTATAGCTATCCTTATCTCAACCAGCAAAAACCCTTGTTCCTTCCTATTATAGCTTATACTCTCTCTACAACAAAATTAGAAATAAGGGCAAAATAATTTCTGCTGGGTATTGAGGGGGTGAGGGGGAGAGGGAGGGGACGGAGTGGGTGGTAAGGGAGGGAGTGGGGGCAGGGGGGTGAAATGACCCAAGCCTTGTATGCACATATGAATAATAAAAGAAAAAAAAAAAAGAAAGCTCCAACTGTTCTGTTGTCGAAAGAGCCGCCTTCAACTTTTTCTTCCTTAATATCAAGGGGATTGATTTTAAAGTTACTTTCCTTTGCTCTTTGAACAAAAACAAAAACTGTGGTGGTGGGGAACAATTTGACATTTTTCAAAAGCTTTTGGCATTTATACAGACATATCCAAATATGTTACTGATATTACTTAGAGTAAGAATAATTTTTATAATTAAACACAACTTAAAATAATTATGAAGAGACAAAGAAGTAACAGTATTAAGTATTATTTACCAGACTCTGTTTTCACTGACTACTCATAATAAGCAACAGAAACTGGAAACACATTTACTATAGTATAGGAGAATATTCTACACAAAATTCCCAAGTATCCCATATTAAAGCGACAAATAGTTCAGTAATTTTTATGTTTCCCAGTAACTGGTACTCAGACTAAAAACATTTTCAGCTTTCAAAGTCTTTACCTTGAATACAATAGTTTCTTGTTTTTTTTTTTTTTTTTTAAATTTTAATCTATTGTTTTGGTGGAATGGAGTTTGAACTCAGAGATTCACACTTGCAAACAGGTACTTTATTACTTGAGCCACACCTCCAGTTCATTTTTGCTCAGGTTATTTTGAAGATGGGGGTCTAGCAAACTATTTGCCTGTGCTGGCCTCCAGCTGCGATGCTCCTTGACCGCAAGTATCTAGGTGAGTCAACAGTTCTAATGAATGTGTGTCCTGTCTTCTTACCTCTTGGTTAAACAGTGTCATCTTCCTAAAGGTATACGCAGGGTTTCCTTCCTCAGAGTGACAGGTGACTTGATAGCATCCATAGGATGAGCTTCCTGTGGGTTCTGGCCAATACTGGTGACATTTAACCTTACGTCAACAGAAGTAAATGAACAAACTTACATAGACATGCATGCATTGCAGTTCTCCAATTTTTAAAATATTTTAATTTTTTAAGAATTTTCAAACTTACAGAGAAGGTAGAAGAATAATTTAATAATATTATAATAATAAATAATTTAATTAACTCTCATATACCCCTGGCCTAGATTTAACATCTATTAAAATTTTTTTCTTTGTCAAATTTTACCCTTTGTAATAACAAGTTGTCTGTCTGGGTATATACATATAAGGAAAATATATCTAGTTTTTTTTTTTTTTTTGAGGCACTAGTGTTTGAACTTGGGACCCCATGCTTGCTAGGCAGGGGTGCTCTACCATGTAAGTAACAACCCTGAGTCCTTTTTTGCTTGAGCTATTTTTTTGAATGTTTGTGCCTGGGACTGGTGTAGGACTGTAATCCTATCTATGTCTCCCATGTTGCTGGGATTACAAGTGCATACCACCATAACTGGCTTGTTGGTTGAGATGGGTTCTTCCCAACTTTTTGCCTGGGCTGGCCTCAAGCCACAATTGTCTGGAACTCTGCATCTCAAATAGTGTTTGGCTATATTTTGAGACTATAAACATCCCGATGGATGTGCAGCCATCACCACAGCCATTTTTAGATTATTTTCATTATACCTAAAAGTCCCTGTACCCATTAGTAGTCAGTGCATTCTGACCTATCCCATCATCCTCCTTTTCCCAACCTGAACCTAAGCAACCAATCATGTGTCTCTATGGACGTCTGATGCAAATGAAATAATGTAACGTATACATGTTTTTGTTTAATTTCTTTCATTTAGTACATTTTCCAGGATCATCCATGTTGAGGCATGCATCAGTACTTTATTCATTTTTACTGCCAAATAATATTCAACTACAGGAATATATCACTTTACTTGTTTCCACTTTGTAGCTATTATGAATTATGCTACATGAATGTTCATAAATTCTCTTGAATGAATCTGCTGAGTTACTGTAACTAGGTTTAAGCTTCTGAGGAACTGCCAGAGTTTTTCAAAGTGACAGAATCCTCTTTCAAATCCATAAGCAGTACTGAGGTTTCTCAGTACTTACTAGCTTACAGCTGCTTACTAGCTGTTCTTTTTATTCTAGTGATTTTGCTAGGTATGAAGTGGTATGTCATGACTTTTAACTTACGTTTTCCTGATGTCTGTGATGTCCAGAATCTTTTCATATGCTTATAAACACTGTGCATATACTCCTCTGGACAACTGTATATTCAGATTCTTTGCCATTTTTTTTTTGTAGTACTGGAGTTTGACCTCAGGGCCTGGCTTGCTAGACGGGTGCTCTGCACTTGAACAGGGCCCTCCAGGCCTTTTTTGTTTTTCAGGTTGGGTCTTGCATTTTTTTCACACACCAGCCTGGATTGCAGTCCTCCTATTTATACCTTCTGCATAGCTGGGGTGACAGTTGTGTGCCATCATGCCCTGTTTTTTTTTATTGAGATGGGTTCTCACTGTTTCCCCAGGCTGGTCTTGAACCATGATCCTCTTGATCTTTGCCTTCCACGCCTGGCATTCTTAATTTTTAAGCTATCTTGCCATTTTATTGTTAAATTAGAATAATTCTTTATATATTCTAGTTAACTGCCCTTTAGATATACTTAATCCTTTAAAATAATGATGATAATGGGTAAGATTTATGTCATATTTATTATGTTAGCCACAGTTTTTAGTACTCAACCATCATTAAATACAAAGATTATTAAAGGTAACAAAAGATTAAATCAATGTAAATATTTTTGTTATATATGCAATATAATTTGAAAAAAGCCCAAGCAATGTGTAAGATTCAACTATGACTTACTCTGCCACGTTCAACTTGTGTGGTCAACATTACAACCATGGAGGAGCCTTGTTCCCAAGTCATTTGCCAAAAATCTGTACAAGTGTGTGGTAATGGCCCTTGACAAGCAATGTATTGATTTATAATGCTTGAAGAAGGAATTTCCATCTAAAAAGAAAAGGACATGAAAATAAAATCTTTTGCATTACTATTTTTTACTAGGATTGGGAATGTGAAAATAATACCCTAGTTATTACATTAAATTGACTACAACTAACCTTGATAAACTGTAATCAGCAAAACAATCTTTATCAACAATTACTTATTTTGTCTGCAGAAGAAATTTCTTGGCAATGTGCAAAAGTTATGTATAACTTTTGATCAGTGGAAAAAGGGATTTAAATGTAAGTATTTTCTAAAACATTATTATTATCATTTTTTATTTTGTTTTTGAGACAGGTCTCACTCACTATGTAGTCATGGCTGGCTTCAAACTCATGATTAGCCTCCTGAATGCATGTACCACTGTGTTTGGCACCATTATCATTTTAAAAGCACATTTACACAGAACTGTTTCAAAGGAAGAAAACTGGTACAGAAGTAAGAAACTTTCCTCTACCAATAGCTAATTGGTACATTTTGTGAGGAAGAAAAATCCTGCCATTTAATTTACTTTGAATTTTGCATATGGATATAGGAGGATATTTTAAAATTATTTTCAGAGTGAGGTTAAGAAAGTGAATATCTGGGGAAGATGAGTCACCATCTTATTAAATTTGAGGTTGAAAAACAAAAGGTATTATATACATATGGCAATACAAAGACTATGAAAGGGTGAACAGAGAAAGAAGTGTCTCTCCCATCCTAGCCTCTAGTTAACATCCAGAAGGGCAATATCTTTTCCTAGTTTCTAATATACCCTTTCAGACATTCTTTAATATACAACACAAAAATAATCATGTAAAACTATCTTCCTGTTTTTCTCTAAAACTTTTTTAAAATGGTAGCATAATATAATGTTCTGAATCTTACTTTTATCTTTAAGAACATATCAAATTAGGACATAAAATTTTATTATTTTAATGGTTCTTCAGTAAAAATGTGCTATAATTTATTTAACAAACATTTAAGTTATTGTAAACTTGTTGGTAATAAGGCTGAATTGAATACTTTTGTGAACCTGAAGTTTAAGCTAATGTAAAAATATATATCTATATGTGCAACAGGATGAAATGAGAACTACTGGATCAAATCATAGTTGCATTCAAAATTTTGATAGTGCTAAATTGCTCACCAAAGAGATTCTACTAATTTAAACTTCCACCAACAATGTATAAGGAATACATTTTCGGCAGGGGGGAGAAATGACCCAAGCCTTGTATGCACATATGAATAATAAAAGAAAAAAAAAAAAGGAATACATTTTCCTTCATACTCACTATACATCCATAATCCTTCATCCACAATTCTGAAACCCAGTCCTCTGACATTAAGGTTGTGTGTGCTTTGTTTTATAAACTTACTGGACTTGGACTCAGTTGCCAGCAAAATCTGACCTTCATTGACTTAAGATTACCTTTACTCCATTAGCTGCATTTAGGTGGAATATCCAGTTTGCTGTTGAATGTCAATATATTGATTACTGGATTCATGTCCCATAATCTGCTAGAGATGCTACTTATTATTGAATATGGTATAAACATGGAATAACCTTTTGAAAGTCCATAAACTCTGAATCCCAAAGCATATTTGACTCTTAGGTTCACATAAAGAATGTGGACCTGTATATGGTATTATCAAAGCTTTGGTCTTCCAATCTCATAGGTAAATAATAATAATAATTTCTTTTTGATTTGCACCTTTCTGTAAATCAAGTGTACTTTTCATTTAGCTGTGCTTGACATTCTTATTTTTCTAAATGTTATAATGGTTTTGTTAAAAAATAAAACAAGTCATTATCTGAGTTACATATTAAAGGAGTAATAGATTATGTATTTGCAAATGTGACTACTTGCTAAAATTTATATGTAATCTCAAAAGAGTGGCAGGGTTCTCTTGGTCATTTATAGACATGCTCATCAGATGTCTATAAATGAAGTGAAGAATTTGAGTGATCAGATGTAGTTGTTTCCTGCTGACATCAAACAAGGCAACTTTGTGCCTTGCTTCCCCTCTCGTACTATACACATAAAGCAGCCTTTTGCACTGAAGGTAGTGCCATATTCTTCGTATTTTTGTGCTTATTGTTGGTGATTTTGACGTTTACAAGTGCAGCACTGAAGTGTTGCCTAGTGTTCCAAAGTGCAAGAAGGTTGCCAAGATGCCTCTTGGAGAAAATGTAGATAACCTTCCTTTAAGCATGGCTGTGTGTTCAATGCTACTGAGTCAACATTATATATTAAATAAGATGTCATTAAACAGAAACAAAGTTAAATATTGATCAGCTGAGGAAAATTGACTAGAGGCTTATGGGAACTGAACTAGAGGTTTATGGCCTGGAACTCCTGCACTCAAGTGATCCTCCTGCCTCAAGCCTTCCAAGTGTTGGGACTATGGGTGGGTACTAGTGTGGCTGGCTATTTACAGCTTATACATATATATATATCTAAGCTCAGAAAAACCTTCCCCTTTCTGAAATATTAAACAATTCTCACATATTTCAAGTACTTTCATAATTGTTTCCTGGATTTATGTTTGATATCTTTTAAACAGATGTCAGTATCGAGAATGAAGTAGGTGGTATACTCATTGATTAAGCTGCCATGTACAAAGCTGCTTCCTAACGATCTGGATGTGGGGATACAGATGAGATGAGACAGACTGGCCACGATCTGCAACTGTTGAAGCTGATCCATCTTTCTTTTTGCTCTTATTCTGTACATTTGAAATGCTCAATATTACAAAGTTATGAAAAAAATAGCGATCCTTTTTTCTTTCTAGTTGGAAGAAAGGAACTCTCCTTACAATGATATATCCTGGAAACCTGACCCAACCCATTCACTAGATAGCCTATTTTATCTCCAGTAATTTAAAAGATTACCTCTATCATAAGCAAAATTCTAGTATTTATTTTAGTATTAATATTTCAGTCTATTTCTGGACTGGACTATTCTATATTTTACTGTTCTATCTGTATATTAATATACTGCCACCAAACTATTTCTTTAACATTACTTTGATAATATTTTTCAGTATCTGGAAGTTTTAATATTCTATCAAGGTTAAGCTTTCAATAAAAACCAATTAATTTTAAGGTTTATAGTGGCCCTCATTATTTCAAATGACAAAGGCATAATAAAAAACACTTACATTTATATAGTTTGCATTGATGTAGTCTTCATTACCTTTTAAAATGACCCGTGTAGCATCATCTGAAAAAATTTAAAAGAAACTGTGGGTTTTTGTTTGTTTTTGCATTGCAGATTAAACCCAGGGCTTAATGGGTTTAATCTCCATGCTAAGCAAGGTACTCTATCATTGAGCTACATCCCAGCCCAGAAATGATGTTTTAATAAAGTTGCTAAACTTAACAGAGATGATACTTACAAGGCGAAATATCTCTGTATCTATTTTTGGAAATGTTCTGAGGTAATTTGGCACAAGACATCGTCATTCCAGGTTTTTTCCGATATAGTTGCTTAAAAAAACAAAAACAATTTAATTCAATCAACAATTCTATTTTGTTTTTCAGAATTATTTTTATGCTAACAGGAAACAAGGTCTTTGCCTTGGGATATTTCACCTACACTATGATACACTTTAGGCTAGTATTGAACCAGAATTGCAAAGCCGAGTTCTGTAGTTGCTGACATGGATTATATATACTTTGAAAAATGGCAAAAGTGAACATAATTTTGCTCAGTGAAGTTTCTGATATTTTGAATACTAAATCTGCAGAGTACATCTGGTTTTCATTTAGTTCGTTAGTGTATACAGTACATGAACTGAGAGCTTTTTAAAAGAAAAACTGACATGTGCCCTAAATGTTTTATAACTACAAATACTTATCTATTATATATGCTTCAGCGCATCAAATATTAATGATGGCCATTTTTAAAAGACACCTGAAAAACCTCTTACTTTTATTAAAACAAATTAAGTTCATATATAGTATAAATAAAGCCTTTCAAAATCCACTGTACATTCACTAATCAAAATACAAATTACAAGTACTCAAGAAGTGTTTTTGTTCATCTGATATAATGAGTTGAGATTCTTGAAGACTGCATTCATAAAAATTTGAGAAATAATAAGGTATAAATTTCAAATATAAAAGTTTCCTTTAACTTAGAATTTTTGTTTTTGTTTTGTTGAGACAGGGTCTTGTTATATGTAGCACAGGCTGGCCCTGAACTCATGATCCTCCAGTCTCTGTCTCCCAAGTGCTGGGATTATAGGCACTATAGGCACTATACCCTGCTCACTCAGGACTTTTAAGTCAAAATAGCCTATCTGATCTTCTATCTTTCATAAAAACAGCTACTTAATTTCAGGAAAAAATTTTCAGTTTTATGACAAATGTATAAAATTCCCTTATCTCTCTTTTCAATAGACATATATTCACAGGATCATAACTAGTATTATGGGAACAATTAAACACATTTTGGAACTCTTTATGTCAAATATTTGTCAATAATGAACAGTAGTTTAGGCTATAAAAACCTAATGAGAAACTATGGGCAAACACCTTTTCTGTACAATGATATTACTTACATCAAATTGTGTCAGGACTGTTCCAGTGATAAGCCCCTCAGCTAACTGGATCATCGATTCCCGCAGGGAATGGTCATCTTGATGCACACTATCTACTGGGGCTTTCTCAGGAATGTACTGGAAGTCTGGCTCATTTTCTAGCTTTTCTTCCACTACATCATATACAGCTAAAACAAAGCAAAAAATACACATGGAAATCTTAATGGAATTCATAAGAACTCATCAGATATGTTCTGTAGCTTTGTGCCACAAAAATAATTCATTTATGAATAACTGCACCAGATCTAAGTCTATGTCACTGTGCGGGGGCCAAGAGTGGCTGTGGAGTTGAAGGGCTTTTGCTGTACCTTTGGAGAAAATAAGGGTTCTAGCCAGATGCCTGAAAATGTCTAACAACATGAGGAGACGTTAAGAAAAAGAAAAGCTGCTAAGAAGCAGCTCTGAATTTATCTACTCCTAATTTGTGGGACCCAGGGTAAAATACAAATACAAGACTGAATACCATGTACCTAAATATGGTAAGTTACAAATATGCTCTACCCTCTTTTCTGAACACATATACAAATCAACCTGGGAGGCCAGACCCCAGAAGAAAAATCAAAGCCATAATTCATGCTTCCAATAGTCTGAGGAGATCAAACTGTAGGTCCCATACCTGTAGCCTAGCCCATTTCTTTTCTTTTAGCCACCTTGCTAGCCTAGGGAACACATATGATGTGATCTGCTCTTAGGAGACATAGACATGTGGAAAATGCGTGCAAAGGCACAGGAAGGCCATTTGAACAGAGAACAGAGAACTGAAGGCTAAAAAAAGTACATTAGAAAGGAAAGAGAGGTTACAGGTATGAAAGATCTTTTGCAAGGACCTAGTTGAGTTCCCTTCCTAATTTAAAGCATAAAAGTGGGAATCAAAATTGCTCAAAGGCCATTCCTTTGCCATCATATTCTGGCTCTGTTCCAGTCATGACTGGAACCAGTGAGCGTTCTACATCAGTAGGATGCTTTTGATGTTGCCACAGAGGAAACTCAGGGAACTGGCAAAGAGCAAGAGCTTACGGTATTTAGTATTTCTTCAAACCCAGGACTCTGTCCAGATGAGGACATGACATGATTAGGCTAGTGAGCATCATCTACTGAGAACATAGGATTTAACTACAACTTGTTACAGATTTTTCCAGAAATGGACAGAGATCAAAATTTACTCATCCACTCAATAACTATTTACTGAGTTTAGAATACCATTACTGGAGCAATTGGTGGAAAAGGGAGGCTATTTTAGCTAGCGTAAGGAGAGAAAGCCTTTCTGAGAATGGCATTTTAGTAGAAACCTGAATAAAGTGAGGGCATAAGTCATGCAAGAAGAGTTTTGGGCAGAGGGAACAGCAAGCTCAGACTGTAGAGTACATCAGATTACATTTAAGGAGCAGTATGAAAGCCAGTGTAGAATAAAAGAGTGCAAGACTGAGTGGGAGGTAAAGGAACCAAGAATTTGGATATTTCTCCAAGTGTGAATGGAAGCCACTGTGTTTTAAGCAGGAAACTGACATTAACATATATTTTCAAATGCCTACTCTGGCTACTGTGTCCAGTAATAAACAGTAACAGGTTATGACAGACACCAAGTGCCACATAAAGTACTTACCATTAGGTCGAACTAGAAGCACAAGTTCCCCAGAATGTCTCTCACAGCTAGCTTTGATAAACAGGACAACTTGATCATGGGTATGTTCTGCAATGTCCCGACCATTAATCAGTACAACTTGGTCCCCTTCATTTAATCGAGGGACACAAAGGTCAGCCTGTAATGTAATGCAGATAAGGTTTCAGATTTTCACGTGGCTGAAAGTAAATTATAGAGATTTGTTTTTTATAGACTGTATAGCAGAACTAAAAGAAAATCACCTATGCATTTATTCATCTATTTAAAAAAAAAGAAATCTAATTTTCTCATGAAGGTTCTATTTCTTTCCCTTCTTCATTCAACAAATTCCTTCATGATGACTCACTGTTCTGTGCCTAGGGAGCTGGAGACGAGAGATGTGACCATGGAAATGTGCACATTACTGCTGTTTGAGAGACTCTAGATAAGTAGCTGAAGGAACTCTTGGGAGTTATTTTCACAGCGTTGAAAGTTCAAAGGATAAAACATTTAAAGTGGATCCAAACTTAGGATAATTTGTTAAGGCAAGAAAAGATGCTCATTTTATACAGTCAGTTTTATGACAAGAAGGAGGCAAGCACTATTCAAGTTACAGGTGATAAGTTCCCACAAAGAAATAAACATATTACTTTTTGAATTATAGAGTATTATTTTCTCATTTCTCTATACCTTTATGAGAAAAAGATTTTAATGCTTAAACAAAAAATTTAAAAGCCCTAAAGAACAGCCATAATTTTTCCAACTGGCTATTAAGATCCCAGTACACAATTTCATTTTACATGGTAATTTTTATGGTCCTGTGCTACTGTGCAAGATTAGGACTGCCTGCACTTTATTAGGAAAACAACCCAGTAATGAAGGCAAAAGAGATAAGAGAAACAGAAATATGGACAGCATGTTCTGGGAACACAGCAATAAAAACATATAAAAGTTAAGTACTGCAGGAGATAGGCCAGACAGAGAAGCAAATACTGAGGCAGGGTCTCTCAAAAAAAAAAAAGAGACCCTCTCGTGGCAAAGGTATGAAGAAATGAAAGTGCGACTCCTCAAAGTCACTATAAATACAAATTCCATAAAATCTAACAAGGTAGTGTCACTAGTGGAAACAGCACTGTTCTAGAAGTTAAGTTCTTCCTCTTATGAAATGTGTGATCTTAGATACCCGAAACTAAAAATGGAAGAGATATTTGGTCTAATTATTTCTTAGAGTTATTCTGAAGATCAGATAAAATGAGACAATTCAATACAAAGCTTTCAAATCTGGAATATTCAAATTTAAGGTTATGGTCATTCTTTACAGTTTTTTTTCTCTACTTCTGTAGTAAAGTAGATGACAGATCCACCCATTTTGTGCAGTATGATGCTCTGTGTACCAATTTGGTCCCACATTTTTGTAAATGTCTTTGGGGTACGTGCAGTGAGGTGAACTGCGAGCTGAGAGTATATAGCTGGTAGAAAGGAGAAAGTGGTCCAGAGAGGACTGTTATGAGTCTCTTACATTAGCACTGAAGGTAACTCTCTCATACTTAATCTGTCTCTTGTCAGATGTAAGTTTTGTTTGCATTTCATTCTGATCTGGAAGGTCTAGATAAGCTACATATTGAAATCAATTTTGTTAGAGGAAATATCATTGGTTAAGAGATTCATATACGAAAGAAAAATATGGCTTTAACTGGGGACTATCTATTTCAAAGGTGCCCAATACAAAAAACTATTTGTATTTGAAATTTTGTTTCTCCCAATCACCTAAAAATATGATATTTCCTATTAAAAGACTATGGTGGTCTCTAAATTAATAAAATAATATGAAAATGATAAAATCCTGTTGTTTTAATGCATTCTAAATTCAACCAATATTTGTGAACATAGGTCCATGTGGCAGAAGAGGGAAATTATTTTCTGTTTGGAAACGAACCTAGGTATAGAATACTCCATGAACATCTTTAACTTATTTGAAACCTATCCGCATTCTCTGCTCAAAAACCAGTACTGTTTTTGTGTTATTCACTGACCACTACTACTGCCATACAAAGAAAGGGTATTATCTTTTCTAATTTTAAGAATACATGTTCATTGTCATGATTCAGATAATTAAAAGAGGAACAGAGAAGAAAAGTGGAAAATACTAGCTAAAAGACTATTAACATTTTTAGCATGTTTCCAAAAATGTATACAAATTACAAATATGTATGTGGAATTGTAATGTGTTTTTCAATAATATCACTTTATGGACATATTTTCATATTTATGTAGAGCTACACTGTATCATCTCGATAGCTCAAAGCAATCTATAATTTATTTTGCCAACTCTAATGACACACATTTTGACTTTTTTTTCAATTTTATACTACAATGAACATTCTTGTTTAAGTATCCTTTGGTTTCCAATCCAATTATTTCACCAGGGACAATTCCTAAAAGTAGAATTGTCAGATCAAAGTATATATAATTGGAAAAAGTTTTAGTTAAAATTTTTGTTTTTAGAAAATTTATAAACCACATAGTTATAAGAGCTAGTTGTTAAGAAATCATTTCTCATGTTCTAGAAGCAAAAGCTTTAAAAAACATTTTTGTTACACCTTGTATTTATGTCTATATTTCTAAATAACATCTGTTTTTCTTTGCTTTCCTATTTTAGACATTACCTATTAACTTCCTACATGACAGATGAGAAGTCAACAAATGCTTATTTCGAATCTGCGGTCTCAAACACATCCACATTTCCCAATAAATATGTCTTGGTTTACGCGTCCTGCTTTTGTCCCCCATCCTTCACATGCATAATGTGATCCCATTTTATACACAGTATTCTTAGAACCTGTCTCAGTCAGTTTTCTCATTATTGTGACAAAACACCCGACAAATAACTTAAGGGAAGATTTACTTTGGTTCATGATTTCAGTCTAGGGGCTGGCAGATTGGACCAAATGGTTGAGGCCTAGAGTGCCTGCCCAGTAAGTGTTAGGCTGTGAGTTCATGCCTTGGTACCACCAAAAAAATAAGCTTCAGTTTATTATGATTATGGTGGGGAGGGCATGGCAGAGCAGCTCACTAATAATGACCATGAAGCAGAGAAAAAGAATGCCTGTACTAGCTAGCTCTCTCCTTTCTTTCCTTTTATTTGATTCTGGGCCTCAGTCTTTGAGATGGTGCCATCTGCATTTAGGGTGGCACTTCCTCCCAGTCAATCCTTTCTAGAAACTCCCAGACAAACCTAGGGGTGTGCTTTACTAATTTCCTAGCCACTTCTCAATCCAATCAAGTTGCCAGGCAAGATTAACCATTACAGTACCATCTCTGAACAGTAAGTTTTTTAAAAGGAGGTATCTGATCCAAGCTGGATCTATTAAAGGTTACTTCTTAGTAATTTATAACTAAGAATGAGAGGTTTAGTCATTCTGGGTTACTGAGCTGGTTATATACAAATTTGGACATTATTAGCAATCATAAAAACCACTGAAGAATGAGGATTAGAACAGTGGTAGGTGCTTCTATAATTTCTATTTAGTGGAGATTTAGCAGTGACAATCTGATTTACATGTGTGTGATGATGGTGTCACAGGACTTGGCTTGAAGCTGCTACTAGTATATTGCTTTCATTTGGGCTACATATTTATATGGAGTGGCTTGAAAGATAAGCTGATGGTGGTTTGCACTAAAAGAGAAAAATGAAACAATCACATAAAGAAACAAGAGACGATGCTGGAGCTGTGACTGAAGTAGCAGAGTACCTACAAAGCCCAGTCTGCCCTCCCTCCACTCCTACCCCCACCCCCAACCCCCAAAAAGAAGAAAAGAAACAGAGATGACAAACAGAGTCTTGAGAGTTCTAAAGTTCATCTAGAGGTCTGACTATATTTCTGTCCTTAGGGATTTAGTGAGACACCTCTGTAACTAATAAATTTTTTGTTTATGCTTATGCCAAGGGTATTTGTTGAACACCTTGTTATTTGCTACCAACAAAGTCCTTGAAAACCAGAACCAAACTCTCATTATCAGAATGTCCTTGATCAATACTGACTGTGATTTTCAAACCAACTTTGAAGCTGTGCAAAGTAACAAAAGAAACAGCTGGCATCTTTCTCTCAAACTGTTGTTTTGTATCTGTCCCAGGACAGATAGTTAAGTAATAAAGAATATATGGAGTCTATTTAGGTTAAAAAAATAAAATGAATCAGGGCAGAAAACATAAATGGAAATATAAAAGCAATATCTGCTGCATGTAAGACAACACACTCATAAATAAGAATTGTCCTATGCCGAACAGACTGTTTATGATAAAAACTGTTTATGATTGTTGAAACTTAATGATGAGTAATAAAGGATTCATCATAAGTACAAGGATACACATAAGGTTTTCTCTACTTTTTTAAGAACATGCATATTAAAAAAGTTTTAAATTTGTTTTTATAATATCATTTCCATTTAAAGTAATTTTTTTAAAACAGAAGCTACGCAAATATCATATACAAGTCTAAACAAAAAAACCCCAACAAAAATCCCACAAAACTCTACCTTCATCTACATTTTGTTGTTTAAGAAAGTTGTTTTGATAGAACCTGATAATATTTTGGAAGCACTGAAAGCCAAAAATACCTTCTTCATAAGACAGAGAAAAAATAAAAACTACTTTCTCAGCAACTTAAAGATATTTAACTAACATTTGGTGCTTGATAAATCATTAAGTTCTCTCTTTAATAAGAATGATAAAATAATATATGTTCTTAAGAATAGGATTTCTGAAAAAATGTGGGTAACTCACAGGTGTTCCTGGTGCTACTCGGGACACAATCACAGGCATCTTCTGATCATATCCTCCCTTGAAAAGAGAACAGGTGGAATATTACCAAATTAAGAACGTATTAATGTAAAAACTGAGTACAACAAAAATTCCAGATTACCTTTACATTGAATCCAAACCTTCCATTTTCATCAGGTTTCATTCTGATTAGAACAAGATTATCATGTGGAATACCACCATTAGGCTTGAAAAGACAAAAATAAAAAACATAATTTTCTTCATTTACAATATCTCTTCAGATATAAAATATGCTTTTGTTTGCTTATGTTATCTGCAATATATAAAGAACCATAATTCTAGTAGAAATGTTAGTTCAGCAAAGTAAATTTCTTTGACTAATAACTTGCAGATATATTCTCTCATGACTTCTTGCCACTACATTGGCAAGAACAACATTGGCAAATTGAAAGAATCTGCTGTCTTTATTTCCTCTAATCCCATTCTGCTAGTCAGATTTTCATCCTCACCATTCTGCCACAACTGTCCTTAGTTAAGGACACCAAAGATTTTACATACTGCTAAATCCAGTATTCAATTCTCAGTCCTTATCTTACTTACCTGTTATTTGACAAAGTTGATCAATTTCTCCATGAGTTTTTTCACAGCAGCCAGTACCTGCTTTTCCTTCTCGCTTTTAGCATCTTCTCAGTATCCTTTACTGGCTTCTTTGAGCTGCCTCAGTTTTGTAATTTGCAGGATTGAAGGCTCAGTTTCTAGAACCTCTTATTTAGGTAACTATATACACGTTCTTGGTGATTTATATTTTGTCAAAGGTTTTAAATACCATTTATATGTCATCAACTACCAACATTATAATTCTAACTCAGACTTCTCCCTTTAAGTTCAGAATCATACATCCAACCGTTTTCGTATTCGAATGATTTTTTTTTAAGTGGTGCTGGGGATCCATGGACAAGGGCCTTGCACATACTAGGCAAGCATTCTACTCTTAAGCTACTTCCCCTACTCTTCAAATGAATTCCTAACAGGTATCTCAAACTAATCAAACTGTGTTCCTGATATTCTATCTATACCTGCTTAATCTGCAGCCTTTCACACATCTCAATAAAAGACAATTTCACCTTTCTAGCTCTTTAGGCTAAAAACATTGCTATTACCTTTGATTTCTCTCTTTAGTATTGTCTAGAATATGGATCCATATTCAGCCCCATCTCATTCCTTGCCCCACCACTACCCTGATCCATCACCATTATTACTTGCTTGCGATACTGCAATATTTCACAGTGTCTTTCTTTCAGCCCAGTTTTTAGTCTGTTTTCAAAACAACAGCTAGAGTGATACTATTAAAACTTCAGTGACATGATGTTATTTCTCTTCTCAGATATGTGTATTTGCTTCCTATCTCACCTAAGATTTAAAAAAAAATCCTTGTAAGAAAGCTCTCAGGATTTAGCCTGTTTTGTCCACATTTAATCATTTTCCTCTAGTCACACTGACTCCTTTTGTGCCCCTTGACTAACTCTATCAATCATCCTCCTGTTGCTATGATTTGACTATGTTCCTCAAAAGTTCATATGTTGCAAACTTGATCCCTAAATTTATAAATTAGTTATATTTGGAGGTAGGGCTTTTGGGAGGAAATTAGGATTGGGTGACTTTTTAAGGAGAGGAGGAGACCTGAGCTGGCAGGCCTGCTCTGTCTTGCCATGTCATTCTCCCTACCATGTTATATGATGCAGTAAGGCCTTCACCAGATGCCAGCACTTGGTTCTTGGACTTCCCAGCTTCCAGAATCATGGGCTAAATAAACCTCTTTTCTTTAAAGATTACCTAGTTAGAGCAATAACTATAAAGATTACTTGGTTATAGCAATAGTAAATGGACTAAGACACCTATCTTTATACCTATTATTCCCTTAGCTTACCTGCTCTTCCAGTAGATATTTCATGCCTTATCACTAAGTTCATCTCTAGCTTACACTATCTAAAATTGCAATCCTACTCCTGAAATTTCCCTAAATCTTTCCTGCTTTATTTTTCCTCTCTAGCATTTTCATTATTTAGTATGCTCTGTATTTAAAATTTTACCTTATTTACTATTTATCCTCAATATGTAAGTTCTTTGAAAGTAGGTATCTGTTTGCTTTGTATTTTATTCAACTATATTCCCAGAGCCTATACCAATACATGACACATAGTAGGTACTCAAATAATTTTTGAATGAAGAAACAAATTAGATTTTAAGTTAGTTATTAGCAGGGACCATGTCTTATTTGGCTTGGTAGGCATACGAAGTTCTATCACTCTGGGCTGGAGGTGTGGCTGAAGTGGTAATGTGCCTGCCTAGTAAGTGCAAAGTCCCAAGTTCAAACTCCAATAACTCCCCGGGCCCCCAACCCCATCCCAAAATTCTATCACACACTAAGAGTTCAGTAACTATGAATGCATGCATGAATGAATGAATGCATGAAAGGGTCATACACAGTAGTCACCACCTAGGTAGTACTAGAGTCATCACTGGTTGTGGGTATGGATTTTGAACTCTTGATATATTCATGGTGGTGAAGCAATAAGCAGGGAGAGTAGAATAATTTTGATTTTAGATAATTTGAGAGTCTATGGGAAGAGAAATGAAAGGGCAATGAGTGCAGTGAATACCAGAGGCTTTTGGTCCTGCATATCAATACCTGCTATGGGCTCTTCTGCCTTTGCATCTTATTTCATTTTCTAATATACCTTTAACTTTCCTGAAACACACCTATATTTGTCTGTCTGTATATTTCTTGAGGAACACAGTGTATCCTTAAGATGAATTGACAATCTCACTATGTTTTATTTAAATGTACTTCAGAAAGCAAGAAGAATTCATAGGGGATTCTAACAACTCACCATTTTATCATGTAAAACACATTCTTTAAGGCAAAAGTACTAAAATAATTCATAAGTTATTCTGTAAAGCAGAGTGACCATATACTCAAAGAACCTGGAAAAAAGACTCTGCACTAAGGAATTATATAGTAAAATCAGTGATAATTAATGAATTATTAGCATATATTCTGAAGTACATGTGTGTTTAACATACTGAAATTAACACAGACTTGTGAAGAACTTAACTTTTAAAGCAAAAGGCATTTTACCAGTGAAGATAAAAGGAAACTCCACAATTGAGTTACTTCATGATCAAAGATGACAAAAAAGAGAAAGTACTATAATTTCCAACTAAAACAGTAAAAAAGAAATTACATTTAGAATTTTAAGAATCCAAAGAAAGTAAGAATATTTGAAGGAGTAACTTACAGTAGACTTTTCAGGGGAAGATGGAACATCAAATGTTTCATTAGTATGGTTTTCCAGATCTTGTTGAGAATATGAATAATGAATTTGGTTCCAACTGTTTTTCTTAGATTGTTTGGGTGGTAATGCTGGAGGATGCCCATCTTCAGGGGTCTCTTGTGACCTAGATAAGAAAAAGGGGGAAAATGATTATTTTAGAAATTAAGTAACCCAGATATTTATAATATCTTGTGGGGAGAGGCTTTAAGTTATTTATTTGCAAGTGCCACTTTTTAATAAAAATGTTCTTATCTTTAAAGTATTAAAATATCATCAAATACTACTTTATCAAATCTGTAAACAATTACATTATAAAATACAATTCAAAGGTATTCCTATGAAGATGTTTATTAATTTGCTCTACCATTTTTTTTTTGGTAAGGCAGGCAGATAAAACACCTGGCATAGTCTAAAGAACTTAAGTGAAAAAATATTTGCAAATCATATTCTATAAAGGTCTAATATAAAACAACAACAAAAAACTTTTGACTGACCTTTTTTAATACTATACATGATAGTAATGAACTGAACCACATGACAAGGATTAGAAGAGTATTGAGATCAGTGAAGAGATAAAACTGGATGAAACACTACCAGGCATAATTTAATGTGAGAAAATAAAAATCCAATTAACATTAGATAGTATAACCCTCTCTTAATGTGTAGCAACAGAGATTGATTAAAAAAAAGAGGTATTATAGGAGAAATTTCAAGGTAGAAACTGCAGTTTTTAAAACAAGCATAATATATATAACAATACTTATGAGTTTTCCCCAAAGGAGAAAGGCCAGAAGGGGGAAATCAGTGGTTCAACTTGTATCCTAAGAGGGCATCCACAGAACTGAGTTTGGGAGTAAGTAGGAAAGGGAAATTTCTTTTCTTTTCTTTTTTTTCTCAGTATGTATTAATTGTACCAAATAATGGGTTTCATTATGAGACTTTCACATATTATGTAATTATTTTGATTTTATTCATCTCCCCCATCTACATCCCACAGGCCCCTTTCCTCTTCCCAAACAGTCCTTTCTTTTGCATTCATCATTTTTCTTTAAATCTAGACTTTGCATATGAGAGAAAAGATGTGATATTTCTTTCTGATGACCACCACTTCTATCTACTTTCCTGCTAATAACATGATTTCTTTCTTCTAAATAGCTGAATACTCCATTGTGTATATATACATTTTCTTTATCCATTCATTCATATAGCCCAGCCCACAACTTGGCTACTGTGACTAGCGCCACAGTACACATAGGTATGCAAGTATCTCTACTGTATGCTAACTCACATTCCTTCAGGTATATATACCCATATGATCCTGCTTCACTGGATCATTTTTAGTTCTATGAGAAACCTCCATACTGATTTCATAGCAGCTGTGCTAATTTATTCATAACCTATGTCCGTATCTTGAAGTATTTTCCCTATTCTATGTCTTCCTATAGTAGTTTCAAAGTTTCAGGTCTTACATTAAGGTCTTTGATCCACTTCAAATCAATTTTTGTACAGGTGGAGAGAAAGGGATCTAGATTCAGTGTTTGTGTGGATATCCAGTTTCCCCAGCACCATGGAAAATGGTTCTTGATAAGAGCATTGACCCTTACTGAGATGGCAGGAGTTCTTTTGGTGGAAAAAAAGATTACTGCCTCATTTTTTAAAGGGAGATAAGAGAGTTGATGGCTGCTGTGTAAAGCCACATGACTTCTGTTACAGTACCTAAGCATGGATTTTATCTAATATTTACTCATTTTTGCATGTGTGTGTGTGTGTGTGTGTGTGTGTGTGTGTGTGTGTTGAGACATGATCTTACTCTGTAGCTCAGATTGGTCTGCAATTTACTAGCTTGCTCCAAGCTAGTCTGAAATTTGCTATGTACCTCAGGCTGGCCTTAAATTTGCAATCCTCCTGCCTCTGCCTCCTGAGTGCTGGGATTATAGGCATGCACACCCTCATGCCTGGCTGAGGTTTCCAAATAGCTGATTGTTGTAGATGGTTAGGTTGGTCTGGAGAGTCCCTGCAATATAATTATGTGCTCTCCAGTAATCATGGGATTAAGAGAAACCAGGACTTTAAGACATCCATATTTACTTTAATTGATAATATTTCTAACTCAATGGTTTCAATATGTTTAAATCTAATAATCTGCCTAAAATGATCCAATGGATGGAGTGATCAGTTCTGAAAACACACACTCTACAAAATTTACCCGTAAGTGTTAATTCTGGATGTTAAAAGAAAGGTGAGATAGGAGTGTAATTCTAAAATATTTCAAGTGTTCAACTTTCATTTTGGATTTTTTAAAACCACAGATAACTTCCTTAAATTTTGATATTCTGTTGAAGATGAATATGAATTTATAGTGTTTCAAAGTACTTTGCTGGTAACAGAGTGGTATTTTGTCACACAGTAGCAAAGATTTGTTAGAACTGTCAGTCAAGATGAGGGAAAAACTTTCCCAATTTACTTCAGTCAAGTCAGCTTTAGCTCCTCATGAATGCTTCAACAACAGCAGTAAACCTACCTTATTCTGCAGCCAAAGCAGCTTGCTGCTGCTGCTGCTGCCTCTTGCAATCTGTATTCTATTAAGAAAAAAAAATGTAATCACCCAATTCATACACTGTGATGATTTTTGAACAAATGCCCTGGCTTCCCTGTTACAAATCACCAGGAGTATATTAGTATTTATGATGTGAATTTATTACAAAAAACATCTGTTTTCAAAAATTTATTCAGGGCAATTGTTTCATAAGATTACCAACTAAAACAGCTTAATTTTCTATGAAGCATTTAAAGAGGTGAATGCTCAATATGGTCTCAATTACTCCTGCATATAAGTGGTAACTTTATTTTAAACAGTATAAGCAATCTCTCGTAGTCACTTAAAAATTAGAGCACTGGTAAATTAATCTCAAGATTTACTTCACTACAATCTTATCTGCCAACGAAAAACTATGGGAAAGACCCTAAAAATACTTTACTATTGTTGAAATGCTTTCTGCTGATCCAAATTGTTGTTTGAATACTTTTCACATTTAGCCAATGGTAAAACTAAAATCTGTGAATTCTAAAGTAACGAGTATTTTCTCTAAATTACAAATCAATAAAATCTTGAATGGGCTACAAAGTTCAGGTATGGAAGGCCTGAATTTCTACTTTGTAAGTTGGGATTAGTGTTTGAAAGTGTGACTTTTTTAAGATGTTATATTATCTTTCCTACTCATAGAACAGAAATACTTTATGTAAAAGCTGCCTATAAGCAACTAATTAATTACATAATGCTATAATACCATAATTAATAGTAATAGTATTAATAGTTAATCTGATTAACTATTACTGTTAGGTTTTTTCTTCCCCTTTGGTGGTACTGGAGGTTGAACTCAGGGCCTTGAACTTGCTAGGCAGGTGCTCTACCACTTAAGTCACTCTGCTAGCCCTTTTGGCATTAGTTATTTTTGAGACAGGGTCTTGTTTTATTCCTGAGCTGGTCTAGACCCCTATCCTCCTATTTGTGCTTCCCCACATAGCTGATATGAGAGACACACACCACCCCACCCACCATTGGCTGAGATGGGGTCTCATGAACTTTTTGCCGGGATGGTCTTGAATCATGATCCTCTTGATCTCTGCCTCTAAAGGACAGAGTCTTGAGCTGTCATATCCCACCTCCTTTTTTTTTTTTTTTTCAGTACTAGGGCTTGAACTCAGGGACTACACCTTGAGCCATTCCACCAGCCCTTTTTTTGTGATGAGTTTTTTTCAAGATAGGGTCTCACAAACTATTTACCCGGGGCTGGCTTCAATCCTCCTGATCTATGCCTCCTGAGTAGCTAGGATTACAGGCATAAGCTACCAGCGCCCAGCCATATCCAGTCTCTTTAGTTTTATTATTCACCTGATCTATTCAGAACTCTCTCATTATTATGATTATTAATTTTCTTTTTGCAGTGCTGAGGATCAAATTTAGGACCTTATACATGCTAGGCAAACTGAGGACTGAACCCAGGGTCTCACAAATGCTACATAAGCACTCTACCACTGAGCCATAAACCCAGTCTTTGCTCATTATTTTTGAGGTTAAAACTTGCTGAAGTTCAAATACAGTGGTATAGATTCAAAACTGAATACAAATATGTAACTTAAAAACATTTCACAGTTCCCGTCTATCCTGAACTTACTTCTCTACTTCAGGTAAAGAAAGCAGAACAATGGTAGTTTAAGGAGGTAGACGATTTTGAAGGTTTACAAATCTATACATGTGGAAATATTTAATTGTGTATATGTGTGTGTCTTTCCCTAAAAAAGGCCCTTCAAAAAAAGATTAAGATAATTTGGCTAGGCTTCAAGAGTTATCTTATATTTTCAAAGTTTTAAAATTTGAAAATGCATGGTATCAGAAAATTAGAATTATAACTTTTAAAGTAATAAAAGTATTACATTTCCACTAATTATATTTCTTGCTCATTCATTTTCTACAAGTGTCATTGTACAGTCTCTGTCCTATTTCTCCATTCCTTATAGTGTATACACACACACTGTTTTACCAAGGCTAAACCTCTAATCATGATAGATTGGCCAACCATGGCTCCTATATCTGGTCAGGTTTATCCAGAGTACTATAAATGCTTTGCTGATCACTGCTCTTCTACCCCACACTCATTCTTTCTTTAAGACTAATCACATTCACTTTATCTTTACTCCATTCTCCTTTTCAACAAATAAGTTTTCTAACTGATCTATGTATCATGTATGTATTTTACCTTTTTCCATTTCTCCCACTTGAGTTTGAACTACCTATGTTATATAAGCCAATAAAGCAAGATATTTCATATTGAGAGAAGATGCAGATTATGCATTAAACCGATGGGTTATAAATACTGCATTAGGAAGATGAATTTATGTATCAGTCGGTAGGAGCAGAGGATTATGAATAGAAACAGACTTGAGAATTGGTGTGTGCATGTTTACTATGACCTACCCAGTGTGATAATCATCTCACTTATTTCTCCCTTGTTACTGAATTCTCTCAGCACTGTCTATTTAAACTTAGGGTTCCTTTTCTTAAAAAAATATGAAGAAAGCTCTATCTTTCACTCTTCTACTCTCTGTTATGTTATCTGCACAAATATTTGAATGTATGCACTAAAAATTAACAGATAATCAGTGACCACAAAGGTGAAGGAGAAAGATGCAATAAGAACTCCAAGGATAAATAAGTCCATTTAGAAATATATATACAAAAATCAGATAAATAACATCTTACATCAAGTTCCTTAATTTCCCAGATTATTTAAAATGAAACAAAGTTGTGGCATTTGAAAATAAAGAATTAGGAAGCGACTTAAAAAAAGGCCTTACGGTGATGATTCCAGAACAATGCTATTAGCTTGTGTTGATGATGGAGATCTCTGATTCACCAAAACTTCACTGGCAGAAGTGTGAACCACATGGTCTACCAAATGACCAACTGAAGATGGTCGTACTCGGGTACCCTCTTGTGTAAATGCTGAGTTTCGACTAAATGGAGAGAAGAAAATCTGAATAAAAACATGCTTTAATTCAGTTTTTCCAATTGTCTTAATTATATTGTGTATGAGAAAGTGGGTGTGTATTTTTAAGACTAACTATGCTAAGCATAAACAGAAAAGAATACAGAATGGGAAGTCAGGATCTGAGATGTAGATAACAATCTGCCACAAGGATTTCACCCATTCATCTATTATCTCTATTCTATGTTTCTCTACTTCAGACACTATAATTTTAGGTTTTACTCAACATTTATTCTAATCAATTTTATTCAATATTTATAAAATTGACTAGAATAAATAATTAGAAATATTTTCTAGTCTGAATTCTTTTTTAATTTTTACAAATGTTTGTAATTGGTGGAATTTTTAGTCCTAAGAATAGACACTGAATACTGTATTTCCATCCTTATAAGTGATAGCTAATATTTAAGCACTTATTATGTGCCAGGCATTATTCTAAATACTTCACAAATGTCACCTCATTTAATCCTCATATCAATACTCTCAGGAAGACACTTACTATAAACAGGAGTTTTGTAGGTGAGAATGAGATGAAAATTAATCAGCTTATCAAAGGTTCAAATAAGCAGTAACTCTAGGACCCCAGCTCTTTATCACCATGCTGTATTGTTGACTTGTTAGATTTAAAAATTTTTTCAGACCATCCTTAAAATTGTTTCATTTACCAGAAAACTTGGAATTACTGCTAATTAATTACTTGAATTACATGGTTTAAATCTGTGCCTTCTAAACCTTGCTGTTTATTGGTTCTGGTAACAAATGGAGAAGTGGCTGGATGAAAAAAGGAAGGCTCTGAAATTTCTTCAAACAAGTTGATGAGCCTTTGAATAAATACATATTTTACAAGGAAAATCTACACTTGGCAAGACAGAAATCACTGTATCCAATTTTCTTAATAGTAAGGAAGACAGCTAGGTATAACATTCTGTGAAACAAACTTGTTTATATATGTACTTTAGCCCAATATGGTAGAAGTTTTCTTCAGCTGATAATACCTAGCACTGACTTACAGATTTTAACACTTAGTACAAATTTGTTGAGTATTAAGGTATATATTTCTAAAGGAAGACTGTCTCAACTATTATGTTCCATATCAAAATTAAAGAAGTTAATAAATGAACCTTTGGTGTTAAAATTTACCATTATCTTAATTGTACACAACACATTTATTACTATGATAAAATTAAGACAATAAACATCGTTGGCTAATGTAAATTTATTTTATTATTATCCATACTAAAAATACACAGCTAGTGAGAAATGCTAGGCTGAAAAACATACACAAGTGCTGAATCACAGAGTTCTTTTTAGCATACATATAACTAAGCTATGGTTGTTAGTGTTGCTGGAAATCCCTTTTTCTAGGCTGCAGAATGTGCTATAAAGCACTGATAAAGCATTTTTAACAATTTATGCTCCCTTTGAAATTCTGTTGGGAATCTACATGGAAATGGATTTTGTAAACAACAATCATATGAGATTTTTAAGTCTACTAACAGATCTTGATTTTTTTTCACTAAGGAGCCTTTATTGTGAAAGTCAACTGTCAAAAAAAGTGAGGGTTGTTCTTCAAGGCTCTGTTCTCTCATTCCCCATGTCTATTCCATGCCATTCTAGTAATGAGCACCAAGCAAGGAAGAAATGAATATTTCTTCTCTGGATAACAAAAATCATGCTTTACCAAAGTTAAATTTTTATATATTTTGATATTCAAGCAATGGAAATACAGAGACAATAATTTAGAAATTAGCAAAATGCCAATTTGGTGCTGGTTTGTACTTACTGATTAGGAGTTCCAGGTGGAGACCGAGATGGAAGGCTTTGTGTTTCTAGCCTGTCATCAGATACTGAATTTCTGCTTACTACTTCCCAATCCATTAATTTCCGTGCCAAAGGCTTACTTGGGGATCTGCAGAAATAATTTAGGTAGTATATAAAAAGTTTTGTTTTTAAACCCCAAACTATGAATCAAATACTAAAACTTATTTTAATATATCATATTCTACATGAGCTTGTAAGAAACTAATTCATTTTACTGTTATTTACCAAATAATTTCCAAATAGTAATGTTTTATATGACAAAGAAAAAAATGTATGAAGAATAAAACAGAGAAAAGAGGAGAAAGAGAGACAAATTAAGAAAAAGAAAAAAAACAAAACAAAAAAACCGAAGGGAGCAGTTTGATACCAAATTTTTCTCACATGTTGTCAATATTACAGACATTACCCATTCCTATTCTAGAGTATCTGGAACTCTATTGTGAGATGTACTGAATACATGTTATCTCTTGAATCCTAAATCTCTGCTTTAATGAGGACAGAACAAAAAAATTACTACTATGCATATGATTTTTTCTTTTTCATGTACAGTAGGCCAAAGGATTTATTTTCTTTTTATTTAAAAAACCCTTTGGAAGGCAAATATTCTGTATTGAAGTGGGGAGTAGAAGAATATGTTTATTGTTTATATACTGTCAGCTATCATAGTGATAAATAATGAGAACTAACTCTAAGAAAAATCTAAGATCTGCTAAGAAAAAGATCTTGCTGTTAATCTGTGCAGATCAAAAGGTATTCATCTATGCAGAAACATTAAGTCAAAATATATTGGAAATCTATGGCATCTAGTTAAATGCCTAATTTTTTGACATTTAGAATATAGAGGCTAATATAATGATTTAAACTGACTATATAATAAATCATCTTATAAATTCAGTGAAACACATAAAAATCATGTTATTTCCCATTATGTCAAACTTAAGAAAAAAGTTATCCTACTGTAAACCAGATCATGAATATATTGATAGACGCACCTATTTATGTAACCAAGAATATTCTCAGTCATAGTTCAACAAGGTTCAAAGATCTTCATTATGGAACTTTTGATTTATTTTCAGATTTTCCAGTAACAGTTAAGAATTAAGCTTAAGACAGCATTTACTTTTTAGCTGTCAGGATTATTTTTCTTAAAGTTGGCCATCATTTTGTTTTTCCTATCATCATGTACTATACATGCTCATTTGTATAAATTTAAAGCATTATGGATCAAGAACAAGCAAATATAACATTAAGTTACCCAATTACACTGAAATATAAGATCATAATATACCAAATTCTAACGTCATTAAATGTGCAGTTGTTTTAGTAGTCTAAAATTCCCTTTCTAATATGTTAAATATGTAAAAGGAAACAGAATGGCCTAATGCTGACCAAACAGTATTCCAAAAAGTATAATGTATACAGTAGGAAGCATTAGAATAATGAGTAGGGTCCCTGAATCCTAGTTCTGGTCTTCCATTAAAAAAATCATTTAAGTTTCTATATCTAAATTTACTAGCAAATATGATCCTTATGACTTACAAATATCCTCATTACTTCCTGAATTTTATGACTTACAAATATCTAAATTTTCAGCACAATGTTTTATAGTCTATTAGTTTTATGAATCCATACCATACAAGTGTCCTATCATTTAAGGAACTCACAGCCAAAACCTTTTTAGCTTGGACTAATAATATCTGAGTTTTAAAACTAACAGGCATTTTCTAAAAGAGGTATAATGTTATTAGTTTAAAAAAAAGGAACTGCCTCAGATTTCATTTTCCTTAAGAAAATTCAAAATAATTTAAGCATGAGTATTTCCCATTATCTTGAGTTAAGGATTTTTTCTTTTGACTTGAAGACTACTCAGGACACAATTTAGTTTAACCTGCATAGTGCAGGGCACACACTCATCTCAGTCACAACAAATGAAACTGTACTATGTCATGTGCTCAATTTTTAAAATAAAATCTTAAACTTAGTCATAACTTACCATCTACAGCTCTATTAGTGGTAAGCACTTGAATGTCTATAGACTATCTTTGCTCATATATTAGACTTAATGTACGCTGTGAGAGAGTTCACTAGTACAGTTACGAGATCAAGTACTTTCATTTGCTAAGAGAAGAAATCATTTGAAGGAAGAAAAAAATCCATCACACTCACCTCATATAAACCATCAGAAGACTTCCTTCTTATTAATGTACTAAGCATGTTTGGAAATGCTCTGAATTTAAAACTAAATTTCAGGTATTTCATTTTAATAAGTTTTAACCTCAGAGACCCACCCACTCAGGCTTGCTATCTATGTTTCCTGTTGAGTGTGGAAATTTCAGAGAAAAAAATACCACACTACATCAGTGTGTTTGCAATGTGGTAAGTTTATTTTCTGATCATGGTACCATATTTTTCTGTTGTATGAGAATACTGTTTTGCTCTCTTCTTAGATAATATCATATGATAATTTTAAAACTATGAAAGCAATTCAAAGAGCTGATACATAGGAAAAAGAAAAGAATAACACTGATTAGTGCTAAAAAATCTTATTATATGGGAAGCCTAAGTAGTTTATTCTATCTATGCTTCCAATTAAAATTCCAAGAACAACTAGAATTCTGAAATTCTCTACTATTTACCAAAATAAGGTAATAATTTTTAAAGCCATTAGAGAATGTTGGTAGATATGCATCAGGTCATCACAACAAGATTCTGATATATTAGAAAAAAAATATTAGAAATGTTTAGTCTTTCAGTCATAAGATAGCACTAGAATGGCCCAGTACTTATTAAAACTTCTTAGCCAGGTTCTGGTGGCTCAAACCGGTAATCCTCACTACTCAGAAGGCAGATAGGGGCTAACTTCATGGTTCGAGGTTAGCCCCGATTTAAAAACAAAACAAACAAACAACCTCCCCCGAAAAAAACCTCAAAAAAACAAGAAACAAAAAAGGGCCGACAGAGTAGTTCAAGTTTTAGAGCACCTGCCTAACAAGAGTGAGGGCTTGAGTTCAAACCCCAGTACCACCAAAAGAAAAAGCAATGCAAAACAAACACCAACTAGACAACCAAACACACTAAAACAAAAGAACAGAAAAAACCTTTTTCCCAGAGTTAGGGATGTAGCTCAGAGGTAGAACATTTGCCTAGCATGTATAAGGCCCTGAGTTCAAACCCCAGTATCACACACACACACAAACAAAACAAAACAAAGTAAAACTTCTTCCCAGCAGATGACTTATTTTAAGGAGAGTTCATAAAATTCCAGAAAAACAAAAGTGATAAAGAGTTAATTTGAGGCTTATATCCTGGAATGCTAGATCTATTATTCATTGATTAACACAAACTTATTTTATAAAACATGTTAACTTCACATTTTAAATCATGAGCATACAAAATGAACTAAGATGAAGATGTAACTCTGCATATTTCTAAAATGTACTATGGTAAAAATATTAAAATAACACAAAGAAACTATTTATATGTGATATTAACCTTAATATAAATACATCTATGATTTGGCACTCATGGATACCAAACTACAGTACAACTAGTCATCACATCACATTATATATTTTTTATAAATATCAAGTAAGAAAAAGTTAAGTTTATTGTTAGGAAAGGAATGGAATAGGTATAGTATATTGGAATGGCGCAATTATAACACTAATTAGAAAAATACTTTGATTTCAACAGTACTGAAATGATTTTGCAAATAAGATGTAGTACAAAAACTAGAACAAATACATTCTAGAACAACAAAACTGACAGAAAGTAAGTGGACTCAAGAACAATTAAAAGGAAAACAATTTCATATTAGCATTTCATCTTTGTACAGGTCTTAAGTACTTTCTACTTTTTACAGAAGAAGAAAAAGGGGGGATTTTGAGTAATTTTAGTAGACATGTGTATTAGGACAAACATCTATGTGTTTTTTTTCCCCCCTACCTTTCAAAATAACCAAGTCACTAACATGGCACAAAGATTTACATTTAATAGAAAAGAAGACAATTTTCTCCTCATAATTCTAAAGTAAGATATAATAAGCTGATGTCAGTATTTTTTGAACAAATGCTAAAATGAATTATATTATTTAAATTCAAGTAAATTTATCACAGTAACATGGTTAGCCTTGACCAGCTGAATCCACACACTGAGCCATTTTCATAGGCTGTTTTCCTATTGCATATATTATGTGTAGACAATTCATAGAGAGTAACCACAGAACGAAGAAAAGAATGTAAGTAAATCTTATTCAAATAAGAAAACTTATTTTAGTAATTTTTTGTTTCCAATGTCCTTACTTCAAGGAGCGTAGGGTATTATTCATTATTTTTACAAGTATTTGGGACATATTTCTATGGCATCACCAAATAGTCTCAGCAACAACTCCTGCTCTGGAGGCAGGGAAGAGATAGGGGCAAAAGAAGGAATCATAAAGTTAATCTACATTTTACGATGAAAGGACTTAACTGTTTAAACATTTCTTGCACTATAAATGACTAGTTTTTCAACAACAAAATGTGCATAAGTGGTAAAAGCAAGCAAAAAGTATGAAACAACTTTGAAACAAATATACATATAAATATCTCAATAAGTATATGCATGGAAAAGTCTTGAATAAATACAATGAAGTTATTATAAATGATTGCCCTGGGATGACAATTTTTCTTCATATTATTTGACACTGTTGGGAGTTTTAAAATACAATGAATTATCACTTAATGCTAGAAAAAAGGAGCAATTTTCACTTTTGGAGGGATAAAAAAAAACCTCCAAACAAAAACTTCTTTTTCTCTAGAAACAGAAAGCAGGAAGGACTTTGGATAAAGATAAAGAGCTTAAGTAGGGTGCCAGTGGCTCACACCTGCAATCTTAGCTACTCAGGAGGTAGAGATCAGGAGGATCATGGTTCAAAGCCAGCCCAGGCAAATAGTTCTAGAGACCCTATCTTGAAAATACCCAACCCAAAAAAGGGCTGCTAGAGTGGCTCAAGTGGTAGAGTGCCTACCTAGCAAGTATGATGCTCTGAGTTCAAACACCGATACTGCCAAAAAAAAAAAAAAAAGCTAAATTTAAACACTAAAATCAAAAGCATTCTTCAGTTGTCTTTACTAAAATTCTTAAGCCTCTAATAGTAATAGACACCAAATGCCTAATTCTTTAAGGATTTGTACTAAATTATTTTCAGTGAAAACAAACTCCTATTTCTAACATATCTCTATCTCTACTTCCCTCGACTTTGTTTCCTATTCTCCATTTCTCCATTCTGTCATTAGTGTTTTAGGTCAGCCCTTTTTACTTGGATTACTTCAATTTTCAATTAATTGGACTCTGGGTACCCAACTTGTACTTACTGATCTATTCTTTATCCTTGTTCATGAAACTATTTTCTAAAACATAAATCTGATCATTAAATTTCACTGATTAAAAACCAAATTGGCTCTAATGGATTCTAAAAAATTAAGATAATAAATGGCAAACAAATCAAAAGCAACCTGTATATCTCTTAACAATATTACTTAAATAAATAAAAAAATGGGCTAGATGACATGAAATGATCATATCTCTCAAAAATGTTTTTAAAAATGGAGGCAATACTTTCAATAAAATGTTATATTAATAACATACTTGATTTAGCTCATTCAAAGGTACAATACTTGGCACATGAGTAATATTCATACATATAAAGAATCAATACAACTAGTTTTATCATTCCCTTAATATAATTTGTATAATTAAGAAAGGATCATCTGATAAATCTGTAATCACTTAACTTAAAAAATAGTTAATCCTTAAAAAAAAATTAAAATACTGAAAGAGAATTGACTTACCTTGCAAATACCCTGTCTTTATTTGCCTTTTCTTTGCCATATTGAACTGACTGGACTTCGGTTCTTCCACTGAAATACATAAACACCCATAACATCTTAAAGGATATAAAGAACACACAACATTACAATTTTATAAGAGACATTTCTAACAAATGGACTATATTTCATTTCCACCAAGAGAGACAGCACTTATAGTTCTGTTCAATACACGCTTAATTTTCTGCTCCTCTATTGAGTGAGAAAGAAATGATTTTGTATGAAACTTCCTTCCCTGTTATGCCCCACAAATGTCTTCTGTCTAGAGTCAAGAGTTTACCATGCACCAGATTAAACAAGCTCCACCAGCCCTCCCTCCCCCAACAGGACTGATCTAGCTAGGGTCTCCACTACTCTTTAATGAAGGTACTGAAACATTAGAGATCTTGGGGAACTACTCTTTCCCCAGACTACCTTTCGTTCCATTCCTATTGCTAATGATGACAGGTATGAACACTGGTCATACCTCAACTCCCCCCATGTCTAAATATAGTCAATTTCATATTTTTCAATACAGGAAGCAATTAGAGACAGAACTGTTGTGTGGGTTGGGTGCTAGGAAATGACTTGAAGTTGGTTTGTCTAAAAAGCACATTGTTTATGCAGAGGAACTGATTCTCCTCTATGATACAACAATGTGTTCAGGCTAATTTTGTTAATACAAGTTTAGCACTCAGATAATTTGTTACTTATGGCATTTTGTACTGAAGTGTAGATGAACAAAAATTTCTAGTACAGCAAACACAACCATTTACAAATGTAGATGTCTAATGTATGCAAAATAAGCCAAATAACAGGTTTTCAAAGCTACAAAAAGAAATTTAAGACCATATTTCATGGACAAAAATCAATAAATGTGAACTGAACGGCTTATGAGGTTTTAATTGAAAATGAGGAATGTCAGCATGGATTTTTAATGTTGGTTAAGTTGTAGTTTCCAATGAAAATACATTTCCTCTAAGAAGCAGGTAATAAATTAAGGTTCACTAATTTTGTATTTCTACATTAGAATGATGATTTTAATACCTTGGATATTTTGGAACAGAGATAAGGGTATGTGTATTAGGAAGCTAGTGGAGAAAAGAGTCTCTCTGATATTTCCAGTTCATTTCCCACTCAAGTACTTCCAACTATGAGGAGAAAAGTGTTTATTTAATGCATACTGATTAGGGATAGAACTGTATCTAGTTAAACATTTGTCATTTGTAAGACTATTAATCATTTTAATGATTAAAAAATGCTTCAGATACATTTCTAAAGTTCTTAAGAACAATAAACACAAAACTTAATCTTTAAAGCTATAAATATGTATGGCTTATGTAATACACTAATTTTAATGTGAACTGAAAAGTAGGTCCCAATTCTGTCCTTCTATGTTCTACTATACTTAGTAGGGGACTGAGAGTGAACAAATTCCATTTTCTAGATTTCTTTGTCACTTGGCATTCTGTTAGGTTCTACTTTCACAAGGCACGGGGAGTATGAGAAAAGTGCTGGTAGCTGCTTTAATAGTTCCGGAGATGGGGGATACTGAGAAACAGCATCTTGTAGATGGTTCCATGCTTGGTTAAAGCAGCACCTCTCTGCCAGATCCAGAACTGATTGACTATAACAGTGGTTCTAAAAGCACAGAAGCAGGTCTAAGCTTGGGGACTCCAGCCCTAGGATGACTCACCATGTTATCTTTGAGCTTTACTATTTCTTCCTTTTGGTTCTCCATACCCTCTCCTCCCCCTTTTGCTTCCCCAGGCTTTCTAACACTTGTGTAACAAATTCCCTCAATTAAATTGTTTTTGTTTGGAGTATCAAAAGAACTTTGTTTCTCTAACTGAATCCTGACTGATGCATTAATTTGTCACTTAGTGGATTCAAATGGAACTCTATTACTCAAAAGGCCTAATTAATAAGTTAAAATTTGTAATAAACATGGAGCAATGTAAATAATTAATAGCAGAAAGGTCTATATTCATATTGCCCATAATATAGTCTTTAGGGTTTAGAATAAACTGCAAAACTGTACCAGTCTTAGAATATCAAATTTTGACAGTAAGGTACTTATCTTTTGATCAAAGAGAAAAATACCAATTGTTTATATATGTGTATATATATGCTTATTACAAATAATTCAAGTGAGATAGAAAAGCATAATAAAAAAATTAAGCTACAGTCCTGCCCCTACAAAAATAATCATTACAAACAGATAAAAATTATTTTGAAACTTTTTGCATAAACATGCACAAAAGGGTACAGATACAGACACAATCTTATTATGATATGATTATAGTAGATAAGACAGTTGTTGATTTTTTTTCCATTTTATTTTTGTTTTGTCTTAGTTTTATTTTTTGAAAGGGGTCTCATGTTGCCCAGCTGACTTTAAATTCCTAGGCTCAAGGATTCTGCTGCCTCAGCCTGGAGGGTGTGAGATTGCTGATCATTACAATAAAAAAAAAAAAATTAGAAAACCCTTGAGACGTTGATGTACTAAGGTTTAAAACTACATACTCCTAACTTTTTTCATAGAGATTCAAATACTTCTTTTCACTTACTTCCTCCTTTTAATATGTTCTATTATTTATTTTAGTTTGTAAAATAGTTTATACCATCTTAATTCTATTCTCTGGTCATCATTCTCACAGTGGTCAAGGATTAATGATGTATTTAAAGGATTTAATCTTTATTTTCAGTGTTTTTATAAGGATTCTTATTGAGTTATTTTGTCTTAACTCTTGGCTTACCTTTAAGATTAAGTAGATGTTTTTAAAGGCTCAGAGATATTATATTATGTGGGCTCTGGCATAATGAATAATGTCTACTATGTTGACTTTAGATTTGAGTGGCAATCTGGTTAAACTTAACATTTTTCAGTCACTTTTTCCCCCCTTTAGTACTTAGTAGACAAAGGATGGTCTACAAATGTTATAAACCTGAAAAGTTATTTGTCATATACATTGTTTAAACACACTTAATCCAATTTGATAAAACTCTACTAAGACTGATCAGAAAAAGAGAAGACAAGTTATCAATACCAAGAATAAGAGAAAGAGCATTACTATAGACTGTGGAGCTATTAAAAAGATAGCAAGAAATATTAAGAACTTTATACCAATAAAGTCAACAACTTACATGAAATGTAAAGATTTGTTGAAAGGCATAAGCTATTATCATTTGATCAAGAACAAAGAGAAAACCTGAATTGTCTCATCTATTAAATAATTTAAGTGTATTGTTCAAAATCTTCCTACAAATAAAACTCCCCCAGAATGATTAATTGGCAAATTTTATTAAACATTTAAAAAGGAAATACATTATATAAACTCTTCCAGAAAATTGATTTCCCAGCGCCTTCAATCAGACCAGCATTACCCAGACACCAAAACCTGACAATGTCATTATAAGAAAGAAAACTACAGACCAATATCATTTATGAGCACAGATGCAAAATTTTAGCAAGTCAAATCAGACAACATATGAAAAGGATTTTATGATCAAGTAGGGTTTATCTCATGAATGCAGGGTTGGTTTAACACTTGAAACTCACCATACTAACAAACTAGTAAGAATAAAGAAAACCTTAAGATCATCTCAATAGTTGCAGAGAAAGCATTTGACAAAAACCAATATCCAATCCTAATAAAAATGTCAGGTAATTGAGAAACAGAGCAAATCTTTGCAACATGCATGATACAGGGAATCTAAAACAAAAAGCTTACAACAAAAAAATCATACTTAATAGTGAAAGACTGCATGTTTCCCCCTAAGATGAGGAATAAGACAAGGATGTCTGCTGTCATCATTTGTATTCAACATCATTCAACACTGTAATGGAGGTTCTAGCTGGAATAATAAAGAAAAAGAAATAAAAAGCATCAGATTAGAAAGGAAGAACTAAAACTGTCTTTATCCTCTAAGGAGGAAAAAAAGCTCCTATAATAAGTGAGTTGTGTAAGGTTTCAGGAAACAAGAACAGTATTTAAAATCAATTGTATTCCTATCTAATGGCAAAGAACAATCTGAAATTAAAATATACATTTCTAAATATGATAAAATATGAAAAACTTAAGGCTAAAACTGATGAAGATGTGAAAGATCTGTACACCAAACACTATAAACACTGACAGAAATAAAATACTTAAAGAAAAGCATACACTAAGCTTCATGAATTGGAAGATCCAATATTTCTTAGATAGCAATTAAACCAAAAACTGGTATAGATTCAGCACAATCCCAAATAGACTTGCAGAATGCTTATTTTGTAGGAATAAACTAATTCTAAAATTCTGATGGAAATACTAAAGGCTTAGAATATCCAAAATAATTTTACAGAAAAAAGTAAAGTTGGAGAAGTAGTACTACTGGACTTTAAGACATGAAGTCAGAAACAGACCACACAAATATGAACAAATGATTTAACAAAGGCGCAAAGGAACAACTGGATATTCATAGGCAAAAAAGTGAACTTCAATACATGTATTGAATATAAGAATTATATCCAAACAGATCACAGACCTAAGTATAAGAGCTGAAACTATGCAACTCTTACAAGAAGAGAAATAAACCATTGTGACTTGAGTTAGGCAAAGACTTCTTAGATGTGACAACAAAAGAGTGAACAAAAAAAGTGAACAAACTGAACTTCATCAAAACTAAAACTGCTCTTCAGAAGACACTGGCAAATAGTGAAAAGATAATACCAAGCATTGATGAGGATGTGGGGAAGCCAGAATTCCATTTATTTATTTTTTTCTTCTTGGTGGTGCCGGGGGACAGAACCTAGGGCCTCATGCAAGCTAGGAAAGTGTTCTACAATTGAGCTACACCCCCAGCCCTGTGCTAGGACACTTATATACTTCAGACAAGTATATAAATGGTATAATAGCTTTGAAAATTTGTCTGGTAGTTTCTTACTGAGTCAAACATACATGGTTATATTTATGATACAACCTGGCCATCCCACTCCTAGAAGTTCACCCAAGAAAAATTCACGTCCATACAAAGATTTCTATATTCATGTTCATAGCAGCTCTACTTATAATAGCCCAAACTTGGAAATTTCAAATCCATCACTAAATGGATGGACAAATTACAGTGTATCTATACAATGGAATACCAGTCTGCAATAAAACTATTAACACAGGCAACAGCACAGGGATGAGTCTTGAAATAATAATGCTAAGTAAAAGTGGCCAGACTAAAAAGGGAATCTTATGGATGTTTTGATTTATATAAAATACTAGAGAATGCAAATCACAGACAGCAAACCAACAGTTGCCTAAGGACAAAGGGTAGAAAAAAGGAGTTACAGAGGGACATACAGGACCTTTTGGGAATGAAGGGCATACCTGTTATCTTGATTATGGTGAAGGATTAATGGATATTCAATTGCCAAATGTTAAGCTTTGAATTTAGGGGTTTATGTGAATTTTTAAAAGAGCTTATTCAAGATTAAAAATGTACAGATTCCATTTAATAGTCCATAATCTCATTCCATTGAAAACATGTAAAATCTGCCAACACTAAACCAGTCTTTTCCCAAGGGCAGCAACAGCCTGAATGGCAGTTGTTGCTCTCTTCTCCACTAATCTTAGTTTTTTTTTTGTGGGGGGGAGGGGAGCACTGGGGTTTGAAGTCAGGGCTTTGCACTTGTCAAGGCAGGTACTCTACCATTTGAGCCACAGACCCTTTTTGCTCTGTTTATTTTGGAGATAAGATCTTGCTATTTTGCCTGGGGTGGCAATTAAACCAACTGCCATCATCCTCCTATTTTAAGCTTCCTGTAGTCATTGTAACAGATGTGTGCCACCACACCCAGCTTTTCTTGAGATGGGAGTCTCACAAACTTTGTTGCCCTGGCTGGTCTGGAACCTTGATTCTTCTGATGTTAGCCTTGCAAGTAGCTATGATTACAGGCTTGAACCACTGGCAACTGGTGCATTTTTTAAAAAATCAGGTAATTATTGAGCTTTTTAAAAAAATTAATATGGATAACAGAAATTTCCTTTGTTTCAGTTATGAATTTCTCCCCAACTGTTTTTTTTTTTAATTTTTATTTTACTCATATGTGCATACAATGTTTGGGTCATTTCTCCCCTCTTTCCCCACCCCCTCCCTTACCCCCCACTTCTTATCCCCCCTTACCCCTTGCTACCGGGCAGAAACTATTTTGCCCTTATCTCTAATTTTGTCGAAGAGAGAGTATAAGCAATAATAGGAAGGAACAAGGGTTTTTGCTAGTTGAGATAAAGATAGCTATACAGTGAGTTGACTTGCATTGATTTCCTGTGCATGTGTGTCACCTTCTAAGTTAATTCTTCTTGAACTAATATGGACAACAGAAATTTCCTTTGTTTCAGTTATGAATTTCTCCCCAACTGGTTTCTTCAACTGCCTTTTCTGTTTGTATTCATCACCTATAGATTTTCTGTTTGTTGTGGTATGGTTTGGGCAACTTTTAGACTTTTCCTCATCTTGTCTGAGACCTGTTTTAATTGCAGCTGAAAGCTGGTTACTGTGTTCTATTTCTTCCTTTGTAGCCTAAGTGAAAAGGGGTAAGAGGTGGGGTGGATATCCATCTGTAAGGAAAGAGGCAAGAAGCAAGTGTTCTACTGGGGATAAGGCAGTCCTTATACAATTATTCTGAGTGTTACTTAGGAATCAATTCATTGCAGGAATACCTTTTGGGGCTGCGATGTTCTCATATTTCACATAGAGCCTTGGAGATTTCTTATGTCCCTGCTGAGACTTACTACCACTAAATAAGGCTTTGCATTTTCCTTGGTTTTCGTCATTGATCTCACACTCTCTTCCTGAGTCTATTTACCTCTAAATTTGCAAGTACTACCACCTTTCTTTTCAATACTGAGGTTTGAACTCAGGGCCTGATGCTTGCTTGGTAGGCACTCTACAGCTCCACCTTGTTTTTTTTTAATAACAAAAGTGAAAAGTATTGAAATATGGAGGAAAGTGTTGAAATATGGTTATCAAGCCACTTAAGAATCTGCTGTAATTTTTAATTTTGATTACAATTTTTCTAATTCTGTTTCTAAGAATCTGCTGTAATTTTAAATTTTATTTGATTACAACTTTTCTAATTCTGTTTCATTGTTAATAATGAACTTTTACTACTTTTTCTTGGGGTTAGGGATAAGCATTTTTAGTGATCTATCCTGTACTAAGCTTTATGCTGTTATTTTTATTGAGATTACATGTTGGGTATTTATAAACATTTGCGGTTGATAATAAAAATCTTCTTGGGGGGGGGTGCAGATAAACATTTTTCTCATGAACATGTAACATGAATTAATCTAACACGTAATGGTCAAAGATTTTATTTACTGAAGATGGAAAAATCTTATTTTGTGAACAGAAACAGACAAAAACGAATAACACCTGCCTTATTAGATCAAGAATAACTTTTTCTACATTATTCTTATCAGGTTCCACTTTAAACTATTGTTTTTATGCCTTTTAAGAACTCTACAGAAAAGATTAATCAGAACTTCTTCAAATTTACTTATGCCCCCAAAAATATTGCTTTCAGGGGAATAAAAGGTTACTAAGAATAAAAAAAGGGTGTGGCTGAATAAGAGCAACAACTTCTAGTAATATATTGCACTGTAGGGTAGCTATGATTGATAATAATTAATTATAAATCTCAAAATAACTAGGCAGAGAGGGACTGGAATATTCCTAACACAAAGAAAAGATACATGTCTGAGATGATAAATATGCCAATTACCCTGATCTGATCATTATATATTATGTACAATTGAAATGCCACACCCCATTATGTTTCAATATAAAAATTGTTTTTTAAAAAAGAATAATACAATTTTAGAAAAAGAAACTTGGGGTTATTGTTCAACAGATAATTCTGATTCTGCCTAATGATTGTGTTGAACTCTACAATAAAGGGTTTGACGACACCAAAACATGCTAAATTCTAGATTAAAAAAAACTCCAAATTGTATATCCATGTAGAATATACCTTGGCTTTTACAAATAAAATAAGTGTGTCTTAGAACAAAAGTTTTCATATATATAGATATCTATCTATCTATCTATATCTATCTATCTATATATATCTATATATCTATATATATCTATATCTATATCTATATATATATCTAATAGACATAATGGAAATTATAACACGTCTAGACTGTAATTAAATAACAACCTGCAATACAGTCAATGGAATGGGTTTCTCAGGCCTGGCATGTATCACAAGAAACTAAGAACTTTTACTGAAAGAGTCACACAGGTAGTATCTCTATATGGGGATTCTGACTCTATGTTTGTAGAAGTAACAATGATTAGACCTTTATTTTAAAGGAAGAGGAAAAACTCAACAATAAAGACTTATAACAAAAGCAATACTTACCAGTACCGGAATTTTGAACCTAATGTAAAATAGTGTGCAAAAAAATTCTTTTGAGGTGAAAGTGGTCTGTCCAAACGGAAGAATGTGTGATGTTCTACACATGCTTTCCACAAATTTTTACATGCTCTGTAATTCACCATATTAAATCCCAATAATGTTTCTCTAGATTCGTGCTGTAATAAATGACAAAATGCAGAGAATACCAGGAAAATGTCAGGATCTAAGGCTCCATTTAATTTGCTTTTGACAGATAAATTATTCAAACCCTGCAGGCACTAAATCCTATAGGATCTTATTTTACTGCCTTTATTCAACAAAAAGGCAGTAAAATAAATGATAGGATCTGTAAAATGTGAACTTCATTTAGTAATTTTACAGCTTTTAGGAATTTCTTCCCTAGATCATAGTTAAAGTAAGTTTAAAATTCAAAACACAATTCTGGGCCTTAAATTAAATTTATAGTAGGACTATTGATTTGTAATTCTGCCTAGATTTTAAATAAGTAAATAAGAATATTCAGCACCTCCAAATGCTATCACAAAATTCAAAATTTAAGATAATCAGTATTAGACTAATTTCCTTAATTTTTCTTTAAAAGTTTGGTACAAATTATCAAGCAATTTCATCGAAGCATATCATGTGTAGCAAAGTACACCCATAAGTGTAAGGCTCAGATTTTCACACAATAAAAATCTTAGTGACTTAATCATTTACATTCTTCATAGTATTCTACTCTAGCAAATAAACCACAGCTTATTTCTCTACTGTTTATAGACATTAGATGCTTCCAGTTTGGGGATACAAGAATAATGTATATATATTCTTATATGCTGTCTAGTATATACAGGTACTAGATCATAGATATGCATATGTTCAGCTTTAATGGAAAATGTTCAACAGTTTTCTAAAAGGTTAGGTCAATATATATCCCTTCCCACAGGAGTGTATACTTCATATATCCACCAACCCTGGCCTATAATAAGTTTTCATTTTACTGTTTTTTGGTAAAACGAGGCAGCACATTTTGGTTATAATTCATACCTCTTCTTGATGACTAAGGAAGTTAAACATCTTTTCGTGCTAATGGCTGTGCAGTTTTTTTCTTTTCTTTTTTTTTTTTTTGAACTCATCATCCTCTTGCATCAGCCTCCCAAGTGTTTGGCTGCTGTGTGGATATTCTCATTTGTGAAGTGGTTTGATTCAAGTCATTGCATATTTTCCTACTGGACTGCACATATAGCAAAAGTCATGTGTATGTGTGTGTGTGGTATTATATACATATTTTTGGCTAATTTCACTCTCTTAGTGATTTTATACTATTTTTATTAGCATTCATTAGTAGCACAAGGGATTTTTACTGTGGTGATTCCATAAATGCATACTCCTTTTTTTTAAGATTAACAAGACTCCTTTTTTTCTTTTTTTATTATTGTGACATTTACAAAGTTCTTACAATGTGTCAAATATATCATAGTTGAATTCACCCAAGAGAGTCCCCCTTTTACACTCACATTCCATTATTATTATCACCATCATTTTAGATCTAGATTCCACATCTGAGCAAAACCATGCAATATTTGACTTTGTGAACTTGGCTTATCTAGCTCAACAAGATGTTCTCCAGTTCCATCTTAAAAATGCTTCTGATGGATTGCTGTCAATTTTAGCATAGTCTAAATTATCATTATTCTTAAGGTTAAGAAGATTTTCTTCTATGTCTTGATCAAGAAATATTTGTCCATCAAAAGTTAATGAAGATATTTCTCCCATGATTACACCATGGTAAAATGCCCAAATGTAAGTAATACATTACCAAGCTAGAAAGTAATATGCTTAAAACATCCCTTTTTGGCTACCAGAAAATTAATATTTAATTATGGCTAACAGTTGTTTTATATGAGCAACATACAGAACAGCTTACAAGTTGTACCATATGACATACACATTATAGAAAATAACAATGTCCCACAATAAGTATGAGGCATTAATGCTTCTCAATGTCAGCAACATCTAGGATATATAAATCTATTGACAAATGGTATACTTTTTAAAAAGCCTGTATGTAAATTTGACAGTCTATTAATTGTATCTGGAATGTAACTAAAATTTTCCCAGAGAGTATGTAAACAATGCACACAAAATGCTGTGCTGAGAGATAAGTACATTATGTGAACATTTGGGTATTTTAAAACAACTATTTATAGAAAAAAGTATTAAAATGACCTTCTACAGTGTACACCTGTACAGTGTTTAATCACTATTACTACTTGACTTCTGTTGTTTTTGTAACAGATAAACATACTCCTAACTAATATATTACCTCAGAGAATAAGTATGAGATTAAGTAATTTAAAAATGGTTCATGTTACCAGGCACAAAAAAAGTTTTCAGTAAATGTTAGATAACTATTGTTGTTACTAATAATACTAATACTATGATGGGAGGCAAAACAGAAAAGTTGACTTCTACAGTGCTGTCAATAATTAGAGTAAAATATTTGTTTTCTGATTTCCAGAGGACACAATTTATAATACTTTATTTCTCTAAATATTTATTGAAATAAATACACTAATTTTCACTAGTGGCATTAATCATAATATTCCCAACCTGGAAATGGTAAAATTGTCTGCTAATAGAAGAATGCAATGTAAATTAAAGGAAAAGTTTGTTTATATTTATTTATTTTGGTTTTCGATATAGGGTCTCACCTGTGGACCAGGCTTACCATGAACTCTTGATCTTCTTGCCTTTGCCTCCTGAGTGCTGTGAGTACAGGCATGTGTCACCACACCCAGCAAGGTTAGTTTAATTTTATGAAACAGACAAAATCATTTACAAGATTAAATTGTTCCTAACAGTATTTTCTATAAAAACTCAATTTGTTTTACTTAACAAATGGCAAAAAGGCCATTACCACTCAATAAAGGGAGGAAATATGTTTAAATTCATAAAATAGAAACTGAACAGTTAACTCTCCTAAAATGAAACAAGCTTACCTATGAAAGGAGATACTATAGAATTAGTAGAAAAAAGAAAAAGGATATATAAAATGGTCAGTTACTGCCTTTATGAATGGACCCTAGGGTTTAACAAAGAACATCATGTGTAAAAAAAAGTTTTTAAGTCCAAGAAATAGCAGAAGAGATCTAGAAGAAATTTAAATCAGAACCACACACTAGAGAAACAAATACACCCAGTTGTAAAAAGTGATTTCATTATCTCAGTAGCCAGTCACTAACAGTACTATCTGCACTTTCACTTGCAGTGGTAGAAAAGGTTCTGTTAGGAATGACAAGGAATCTAAAGACTTCATTTATAATTACAGATCAATACTCACCAATTCTTTTCTAAGTTGAATAAAAAACTGCTTGCATTTAAAAGAAATTTTTACAATTTTCAACCTGCACAAAAGAATAAATTGAAGTATTTAAAATACTGAAGATAAATATATTACTAAATTTTTAAAAATTACAAAATGATCTATTTTAAGTGTATACTAATATCTAAATATTTTATTGTATTTTCTTTGCATGCAAACAATAAAAAGTTTTTGCTGCTTCCTTGATAACTAATTAAAATATATATGCTCAAATGAGAAAAATTTTATCAGAATTATCTATTGTGAATTATACATTTCCCAATTTTGTATCTATAGAAATACTTGTATTTCACAAATTAAAATTTTAAGAAATATCAATAACATGGTTATTTACTTTTTAAAATCATAAACCACACCTAAAGAAAAATGTAAAATTTCAGTTTTTGCAAATGTCTTAAAACATTTGATTTAAAAAAGCATAATTATTTTTACTATACTATCCATATTGCCTTTTTTCTTATGTGTAACTCATGCAACTCTCCAAGTTTTCAAAGATTCATTAGTATAATCAGTATGAGCCAAATTGATCTTTCTCATTTTAACCATAGAAAGAGGAATATTCAGATTTTTTTTTAACCGTAAGATCTAAGGGTCATGAGGTCAAAAAGATCAAATCTTATTAAGCAAAATTTGCTTTGGGACCCTGATCCAACTTTCTAATAAATATTTTCATGGTAATTGTAAGATCTGATCTTCAATTTGATCTTCATGAATCATAGCCCTATCAATCAAGAAACTCTTGAGCATTCTCGAAGAATAAACTCACAGCTCAACAAAGTGAAGAGGCAAACACACAAGTCAGGTTCATCCATGTCTATTTAACATAGGAAAAAGAGATATGTTCAGTTTTTAGGTTTAAAAGGTTTCTTTTTTGGTGGAACTGGGATTTGAACTCAGAACCTCACACTTGCAAAGCAGGTGCACCACAGCTTGAGTCATGCCTCCAGTCAGTCCATTTTTCTCTAGTTATTTTGGAGATGGAGTCTTGTGAACTATTTGCTGTGGCTGGTCTTGAACCACAATCCTCCTGATCTCAGCCTCTGAAGTAGCTAGGATTACAGGCGTGAGTCCCTGGAGCCAGCAGGTTTGAAAAATTTTATTTTACTTTTATATCTTCAGCTTTCTCTGGACAAGGACATAACAACATGGGGGAATTCTTTTGTCATATAACAAAGGGAATTATTTTTAGAAAATGAAAAAAAGGCTGAGTAAAACACCAAAACGTATTTATGGAAAGAAAGCCAGCTATCTCAGTTTAAAATCTTATAAAGAGGTAACATATTTTAGAAGTTATGAGTTAATATCCAGTAAGAGCCATCACACAAGCAATAAATGAAAATAAAGAAAACTATTCATTTCTAAATGATCAAAAGAAAATCTAAACCTGTTTTAAATCATCTTAATTTCACAAATCCCAGAAAAATATCAAACAATGAATAAAAATCTCTATATCAGATGATCTTCAGTGCAGTCTCTTTTGTTTTCTTATAAATGTATTCTGCATTTTATCCTGTACATATAGTTATAATAATTTTTTCAGAAAAAAATCAATGAACTAAAATAAAAATAGTATCTATTTTATATGATAATAAAAGTTACAACTGTTCTACTTTGCTTTCTAAATGCTTAGGTTCTTTCTTTATGCTTTTGATATGTCTCTTGAAAACAGTATACAGGTTGAATTTTAAAATCCCATTTGAATAATTCAAAGATGATAAATGAGTGAACAATAACCACATGAAAAGATGTTCACCTTCATTAGCCATTAAGAAAATGCAAATAAGAGATCACTTCACACCCACAGGAATGGCTATAAGCAAAAAGACAGACAACAACAAGGCTGGGGAAAGCATGGTGAAATTGAACCAGCATACAGTGCCAGTAGGAATGGAAAGTGATGCAGCTGTGTTTGAAAAAAGTATGGCAAACCCAGAAATTTCACTTCTAGGTACATGTCCAAAAGAAAATACAAATCCACACAAACAGTTACACATGGATATTCATAGCAGCAGCATCATTCTTAATACCAAAAGGCAGAATTGATGGAAATTGATAAATGAATATTATTCAGCAACCAAAAGGGACGTAGTACTAATACATGCTACAACCTGAATGAACCTCAAGAGCATGTTAAATGAAAGAAGTCAGTCATAAACGAGCACATAGTATATGGTCTCATTTACTGACTACCCAGAATAGGTACATCTACAGAGAAACAAAATGATTCACAATTGTCCAGGCTGGAGGTGGGTGGAAGGCAGAAGTAGAGATGGGAGTTAATAATTATAAGCTAACCTTTTTTGTGGTAATGAAACTTATTCAAAAGAGGATTATGAAGGCTGATGGAGTGGCTCAAGTGGTAGAGTGCCTGCCTAGTAAGTGTGAAGCCCTGAGTTCAAACACCAGTAAAATAAAAAAATTTTAAAATGCCAACAAAGTAAATTATGGTGGTGATATTCCTTGTAAATATAGCACAAACCACTGAATTAGATATGCTAGTAGAGTATGTAAATCATATCAATAAAGTTATTTTAACAATCCATTTTGATAATCTACCTCTCTCAATTTGAAAGTTCTTTTTCTCAGAAGAATTTTTAACATTTCTCATAAGGCAGGTCTACTAACAACAAGTTCCTTCAATTTTTGATAGTCAGTGAAAGTATTTCTCTTTTGCTTGTGAAGGGTAATTATAGACTTCTAGGTTGGTGAGCCTTTCAGCATTTTAAAAGTGTTTCACTCTATTACTCTTCTTGCTTGCATGGTTTTTGAAGAGAAGTCCAATGTAATTTTTACTTATTCCTTTGTGAAAAAGGTACTCTTGACGTTTTGTTTCTTTAACACTTTGTCTTTCATTTTCTGCAGTGCAACTATGATATGTGTAGCAACAGATTTGGGAGTGTTTAATGTGCTTCATATTCTCTGAGATTACTTGGTCTCTGGTTTAGTAGTTGCTGTTAATTTTGAAAGCTACCATCCCATTGTTTCTGCTGTTCATTTCTCTTTACTCTTCTGGTATTCTCCTCCTTTGCTTTTCATTTTACGAAGTTTACACTGATGTACCTTCAAGTTCACTGATTCTTGGTTATATACAATATAATGATGAGACCATCAAAGGCATTCTTCATTTCTTTTGTAGTTTTTGACTTCTAGCATTTGTTTGATTCTTTCATATTCCATCTCTCGTCACACTATTCATCAGTTCTTGCATGTTTTTCATGTTTTGCACTAAATCTAATTGCATATCAATGACTTTAAATTCCTGGTATGATAAATCTAAAGTCTTTGACATATCTGAATCTGGTTCATAAGCTTGCCTTGTCTCTTCTGTGTTTTTGACTTTCAGCATGTCTTTATAATCTGTTGTTGAATACTGGACACAATATACTGGGTAAAAGGAATTGAGGTAAATATCCCTTTAGCTGGAGTATTATGTTTATCTGGCAAGACATAAGGCTGTTTACTATTTGTTGTAAACAAACAGTAGGTGTGACAGGTTACAATTTCCTCTAGTATCTTTATTTTTGGGTTTCCCTGGAGACTGTTTAAATAGCTTGAGCCTTGCAGTTATTTTACTTGTAGTCTGTGATTACACAGCAGCTTTGTTGATATGGGTGTTAAAGAGTGGGATGGAGAGGAATCGTTCTTTAATCCTGTGATTAGGCCTCAGTGGTTTAGTGGTCTGTGCTCCTTGACTATCACTATTAAGAACATGGAGGGGCACCAGAGGTAAAATTCATGAAAGCTTGAGGGCTTTCCCTAAGGCTGGGTCCCCCAGAAGTTTTGTATTTTTTAATCTAGTACAGACTTACTACATGACAATCAGTCAACTACCTTTCAAGCATTAGTAACAGTTCCCGACTCTAGTAGCAGTTCCCAATGCTCGTAATTCTCTATTCATCTATCTATAGTTTTCAAAGCAGCAGTATGCCCAGTATTCTGGATTCTCTGAAGAATCTAAAAAGAGTTGTTGGTTTTCAGTTTTTAGCAGGCTTTTCCTTTTTGTGAGAACAGGAGAGTAAACATCTAAGATATTTACACATCAGATTGAGAATGAGAATTCTCTGTTGTTCTTTTCATTATCTTAATGAAGCCTTTTGATTAACATTTTGACGCAGCCTAATCTATGCAACATTTTAAAAAAGTATGAACTTAAGCTGGATAATTTGGGGACAACATACACAGAGAATACCGGTGAGGGAGCATGTTTCTTCTGTAGTACACTGCATTGCCTACATGCGGGTCTAATTTTCAGAGAATTAAATGAAAAGCTATGAGTTTAAAGCTCTGCTTCATAATTCATACAAAACTATTTAACTCTGATCCACTTGACTTCTCTGATATTTCTTCTCCTTCAATTGTCAAAAAAAAAAAAAGCTAATAGCATTAAACTTGCAGGGTTCTAAGCTACAGATAAAATTCATGAGTAATTTTTTTCCCAATCAGTTCTAAAACTCACATTTTCTCTAAACTCTTCATTCGTGCAAAGTCTGATAACTGCATCATTTCATTTTTTACCTGAGTATCTTACTTTATATATTAACATGAAATAAAAGGTGAGATGTACATGATCCAATCTTATCTCTATGATTTCTCATAAAGTGATTTGTATGGTTTACCAAAGTATACATATACTCTGTTAAAATATAAATTTAAACGCAATGGCAATTCTATGAATGCTAATTTGAATAACATGATGAGGTTGATATGGTCTCATATTCACATGGCACTTATAAGAAGATTATTGCTTTTGTAAAAATAAATCCATAATTTAAGAACTGAAAGAAACCACAAATCTGATGATTATCCAAGATATTCATTCATTTCATGGCTTCTTGTTACCAATTTGTAAATATGTTACTAATGCTGTACTTTGTGCTGTTGTGAGGAGTTAGGAATCAGAAGAAATCCTCATGTTTCATGATGACAGACTTAGTACCATTAGCAACTTTAAATTCCATCTATTTCATTTAATTCTTGAAAATAAAACTTGGGGGGCAGGAGGGAGAAAAAAGAAAACTTAAAATTCACATTGGGTAATATTTTCCAATTAGTACCTTCAGTGCTCACATCATTTTTCTTGATTTGCTTGTTTTTAAACTTAACTCATATGATAAGACTTGGAATAACATGTAAAATGTGTAAGATTTCTCACAATCTGAATTCAGTTTCTTCCTTAAGGAACAAGTTCCAAAATCCTTTTTTTTCATAGTTCTCTTCTCAATCAAAATAATTGAAGGAAGGAAATAGCAAATCCCACCATTTCCTGAACTTGCCAGGTTCTTTGTTACCATCAGTCTTCTGCAAATGCTTGCTACTTCTACCTTGAATGCCTACATTATGTGAGTTCTCCACATTCACTGCCTCCTTCCACAGCTCCCTTTCAGCTGAGAAATTTGTTATTCATCATATAAAAACCATCTCAAATATCATGGAGTAAAATATTCCATAGATTGTATCCTTTTTTTGGTTTCCATTGCAATCTTTGTTTTAAAATAAAATAAAAAACAAGAAATTATGTACTACATAGAATTTTGAAAATAGAGAAAATGTAACTATCACTGTTTTGTTTTTTTTTTGCAGTACTGGAGCTCGAACTCAAGACCTTGAGCTTGCTAGGCAGGCGCTCTACCACTTGAGCCACTGCACCAGCCCTATCAATTATTTTAAGACTTATCATTTGAAAAGAATTTATTTCTGATTTTGACATTTATATAAAGTATAAAACAGAAAGTATAATTAATTTCTGTGTGTAATATCTACATTTACAGACAGGGACTATGTCTTTGATTATCTTGTTATTTGTTACTGAATGTGCCACAATGCTAGTGACATAGAAAATATTTCAAAGAGATAAGATGAGACACTAAATGATCTTTGATTTTATCAGCTTTATAGAGGTATAGGTCACATAAACAATACAATTTACCAATTTCAGGTGACTAATGAGTTCAGTTAGATACATTTCACAAAGTGTTCAGTTGTATAACCACTACTCACAATAATCATATCACCCCAAAAAGTTTCCTTGGGACCACTTTGGATTAAGCCTCCTCCTACTTTCTGCCCTTGGGCAAACACTGATCTTTTTCCTCCATAATCTGTGTGTTCTAGAATTTCATAGAAATAGAAATAAAGAGTAATGCAGTCTTTTGTGTCTGGCTTCTTCTACTTGGCATAATGATTTGAGGATAGGGTCATCCATATGCTTTAGTATACCAATAGTTTATTTCTTTTAAATGCTGAGTAGAGTTCCACTGTGCAGATACATCATAATTTATCGTCTCAACTGAAAGACAGATTTTCATTTTGAGTTATCATGAGTACTATAGTTATGAATATTATGTACAAATATTTATAAGAACTGTGGTTTCTCTGAGTAAGTATCTAGGAACAAAATTGCTGGATCATATGGCAAATCTATTTTTAACTTTAAAGAAACTGCTAAATTGTTTTCCAAACTTCATGTACTTGTTTGCATTCCCACCAGTAACATAAAATATTTCTAGGTGTTCCATTTCCTTGCCATCAGTTGGTACTGTCAGTCTTTTTATCTGCTTTTCTACATAGTAGGTATAGAAGAAAAGTTCACTGTATTTTTAATTTGCATTTCAGTGATGGCTAAGAATATTTCACATGTTTATTTGCCCTGTGTATATCCCTTTTTGGTGGAAGTGTCTATTCAAATACCTTGCCTATTCATTTAAATCAAGATGTCTTATTCCTGTGCTACAAGAATTCTTTGTAGATTCTAGACATAAGTCCTTTAGCATACACATGTTTTGGAAAAGACTGTCTCTTGCTTTTCCATTTTAAGTATCTCTTTAAGAACAGAAGTATTCAATTTTGATGAAGTCAATTTTGTCAATTCTTTATAGCATTATTTGTTTTTGTGACCTATCTAGGAAATTTATCTTTTTGTTTTCTAACAGAAGTCATGGAAGACTTCTAAGAAATTTGCTTTTGTTAGCTGTCATATTTCTACTGAAGTGTTATTAAAGTGACCGATTACCACTGTTAAATGATATTAAAAGACATGGATTAATACAATGTATTAATTTTGCTTTTGTTTCTTCCCCTAAAGAAATCATGTTTATTAAAAAAAGAGGGGGGGAGATGGCCCAGTAATGTGTACACATGTAAGTAAATGTAAAAACAATAAAATGAAACAAAAAAAAAACTTGAATACATCAAACTCACACACAATGTTAGATGCACATGTGATATGACCAAAGTGACTTTTACAATTTTCAAGTTATTCCCTTAAAGGGAAGTAGAAAATGCTTTCTTTTTTTCTTATTCTGGATAATGAAGTGATGGTGGTGGTTCATCCTGGACAATGAAGACAGGACAACATGCTAGAGACTGCAAAGTAATACGACAAAAGAATCCTCACGGAGCCATCATGCTTTGTTTGCAATTAAATCACTGTAATACTCTTTGTTACAGTAGTCATGCCTAATTGTATCCCAATGGATGCATTTAAATAAACTTTGCATGGTAGAAGATGCAGAGTAAACATTTTAATATTACTATAGTACATATTTAGGGATTTTCTAAGATAAAGATTCATAATTAATATTTTAGTAAGCCATTTTGGAACAAATTATTTTGGTGTCTTCTGATAGATAAGCAGAATAAAGTATGAATTTCACCACACAGGTAACTTGACAACATTAAAATAGATTAATGTTCACTTTCTTTAATATAAGTTATTACACTTGGTAACATAGTGGCAAAAGCAAAAGTATTGCTGAAATTCTTACCATGGAAAGGTATTCATTCGTACCCTGTTCTTATAAATCAGAATTCCTCCTGACATCACTCCAATCATAATTTCATTGTTACTTTGATCCTTCAAAATAAATAAATAAATGCATGACAAATTTCAAATAAAGGGCTTTGTTAGAGACTTTTTTTTAAAACAACATGACATTTTCAAAGATACCATAGAATCTCACTATAATTACAAACACAAATAATTATCGTTACCCGCTAAAAAAGTAAGAGACAAACTTCAAATCAAACTTAAATGTTGCATTTTAAATTTCATTAAAATTCATATTCCAAATAAAAAATAATCTTAAGATTTCTCATAACTTATGACAGGAATTAACTCTAGTGAAGGGAAACCTGTGATAAAAAATATTTCCAATAGAATGAGAAGTTCTGTAACTAATAAAATACATTAGAAACATCATGGGAATAATGAATAATCGAATCTCTATTCTATAATAGAGAACAATTCTTGGAGAGTTTCAAAGACCCTAGAGAAGAAAATTCAAATTCTGTCTTGAAGAATGTTGACAGCTTCCATACTAGCTGACCCAATTTGAATTAACTAAGCTGTATTATTGAGAGAATGAGTAGAACTAAAACTTTTTTAGGTGTTAATCAATTTTGAAGTAGTTTTACCTTTTCACTTGAAATATTATACAGGAAACCTAATATAGCAAGCATGGTCTTACTTCCTACCATTCATTTGTACAGAAAGTAGGATTAATTAATGAAAACAAACAAGATTTTATAAAATTGTGTCCCCAGAATGAGACCTTTAAACTGTAGTTTTAATAATTTCTACTTAAATAATATCATATTAATCTGTTAGATAAGATAATAGATAAGTGGTCAAATGCAAGTGTATACTAATTTGTCTGGTTGCATTTTTCATTTAGAAATAATCAGCACTACTATACACTATTATCAGAATCTTAAATCATTTTCCAAAGGACACCTGTTAGAAGTTTGGATCAATACGGTAGACTGAGCTTATAAGATGGAAGGCTTACATAAATGCTCTTATCTCCCCTTCTGCCCCAAATATCATAACATCCGAGAAGACATATGGAAAGAGAAGAAGCTGTAATATTTGGACCAGACATTTTGAGCAATCCTTAAAGGGTAAGGAGCAGATTTACAGAGAGAAAAAGAAAAGTTCAAAGAGAAATAAAAGGGGTCCTCAAATTACTGATAGGATGATCAGTTTAGGGAACAGCTAAGATAATAATTCCTACCAGACCCACCATTATACCCTGACTATAGTGAGGTATAAAAAAGTACAGCCTGTCTAAAATAGCCATTGGACAAAAAGGACAGGGATTTAGAATTAAGAGTGGATAAAAACTCCAAAATTAAAAAGACAAACTATTCCTTCCCTCCTCCATCATCTCCAATGGCAGGCTAAAGTAAGGAGAAACAGCATTTCAAGTAACCCAAGAATAACTGAGGCTCATCAGGCATTTGAAGAGAACTAATACCATTAGAAAGAAGCCTGAAACTCAATAAAAAGACAGATCCATCAAGATGTTACATAGGTAAAACACATGTTTTTAAAGAAATGTAAAAGCATATATATGAACTCAATTTTTAAATTATTAGAATCTGGACTTTAGTAGCAGAGGTAACCAAGAGATAACAAAAGAAGCTGGGCTCAGTGGCTCCAGCCTGTAATCATAGCTACATAGGAGGCAGAGATCAAGAGGATGACAGTTCAGGGTAAGCCTGGGTAAAAAAGTCTGGACATCCCCTCTCAACCAATGGCTACTGTATACCTGTCACCCTAGCTATGAGGGAAGCACAAATGGAGGATTGCAGTCCAGGCTGGCTCAGGCATATAGCAAGATTTTTTTATCAAAAATAAAGTAAAAAGGGTTGGCAGAGTGGCTCAAATGGTAGAGTGCCTGCCTAGCAAGTCTCAGAGTTCAGCCCCACCCCCAGGACAAGGAGAGAGGGGGGAGAGAGAAGAAAGGGAGGGAAAGAGAGGGAGGGAGGGGGAAAGGACAAAAAAAAGAAGTATTATGCTTTTCATGGACAAAAATGCTACTAATTCCACTGTCTACAGAAATATACAATGAATACCTTAATTTAAAATATCTTATATAATAATGGAGGGGTAAATTTTTCAAGGTACACTGTACACATGACATGTAATTCATCACAATGAAATACTCATATTATTACTATATTATAAATCAAAAGTAAAATTAAAAAAATACTTTATTTGCTTTTATTTCCTGCAAATTTACTCAAATTTTTCTTTTCACTGCATCCTTAATAATGAAGAGTAGGGCCTTTGTTTTGTCAGTTGTGGGGTGCTTAGGTATAGAACAGTGCCTTGATCTCATTTATATAACAAATTCTTTTCTACCATTTGTACTAAAATGTCTTAGTTGCTTAGCTTAGTGTGGAAGTCCTTTAAATAACCATCTCATCCCATTTTATTTTCTCCTAACTAGTAAAAAAGTCTTTTACTCTAGTTAGGCCACATCAGCTCCATAATGTGTTTTGTGTTCCCATAATTCCATGTTTTGCTAATGCTATTTTCATGCCTGGCTTGTGTTTCTCCGCCTAATCAAATCAAACTGAACCTGTCTAGATAACATTCAACAGCTTTGTAAAAACTTCAATGAGCCCACACCTACATGCTTCTCTCATATTTGTCTCTTAAATCAATTACATGAAATATATAATTACTGTCATGTAGATAACAATGGTTAAGACTATATACAACAGGGTTTTTCACATAATCTTGGCAAAGGAACAGTTACATTTTGCTTAAATTTCAATCTGTTTCTAAAACATACTGATCACATACATTATGCTGGACTGCTATAAATGTTTCTAGATGCTTATAATTAATTTGCATATTTAACTTGTTACAGACCAGTAATAAACAGTTCACAGATCAGCATCAGTCTATAGATAATTCTTTGAATATCAATGAATGATTATATTATTTCACATTCCTTCAGAGCTCAGTTCTCAAATAAGAATTTCTTAATTGATTTCTGGTGATAATATTATGCTTACACTTAACCAGTCACACACACTACTTGAGAAGAAGTTCAATATAATCTGATTATAAAGACATGTAATGAGCTTTAATTATATAGCTACTTTTGCAACTAAGATTAAATGATAATTAAGTGGGAGGGGTTATAACGTGCAGTGAGTATATACTTGACAATGTAAACTCAGAGCAACCATAAAAAATGGAAGGGAAAAGATAATAAAAATTTCTAAGTAAGAAATTTTAATTGTTCCAGTGATTATTGGTATGATAACAGTACAACAACCATTTTAAGTGTAATGTGGGATTAAGTAAATGAATTATTATGGGACATGTGAATTCTAGAATCAATCTTGATTGTTTTAAGAACCAAAATATTCTATGTATCTCAATACAGAAATACAGAAACAAATACAATTAAAAGGCCTAGAAATAACCAACCCAATAGGAATAAGCATTCTCAGTATCCAGACCAGACTGAGATTCTGAAATATACTGTTCATTAAAAGAAACCAGGGCTTCTTGGGAAAAAGTCTAAATGTAAGTTGTGGCAGAAAATAGACAAGATAAGCCTGAAATATCTTAAAATACCAGACAGCGTGGAAGCTATCAAAGACTACTCAGGTCATGTCAAAGAGCTCCCACAGTGACCAAGATGGGACAGCTTGAGCTTTAAAAGGGTAAATAGGTATAAGTATGGAATTCTATCAAAAATATTTCCTCTATGAGCTTATATTCATTACCCTGAAAACTGGATATATAAAAGGAAGAATCAAACATTTTCCATGCCTTTCCCTTTGAACAGTAAAAGAAGGGAATGACTTCTTAAAAAATCATTCCAGTGAACAAATAAAAATCAAAAGATATAAACAGGGTCTACTTTTCAGGCTCAAGTGAATAATGGATCTAGGCATTGAGCATAAATGACTCTTAGTATAAAAAAAGAACAAAATCAAGCCACCTTTGGAAAAAAGAACAAAACAAAAAGATCAATTCTGAATCTGATCATGCCTCTAGATCAAGCTGACACTCTGTAAGAAATATAGAGGACAGAATATTATGCTGAACTGCATTGTGAATTAAGTAAAACCCGGATTGTAAGAAACTACAGGTAAATTGATCCAGTTCTTTATGAGGTAAATTTTGAGGAAGAATAAGGGAAAAAGGGTGAACCTATAGATTAAAAGAGATTTAAAATTATCTACTTAAAAAGCACAAAAAAAATTTTTTTCATTTTTCTTTTATTATTCATATGTGCATACAAGGCTTGGTTCATTTCTCCCCCCTGCCCCACCCCCCCCTTACCACCCACTCCGCCCCCTCCCCCCCAATACCCAGCAGAAACTATTTTGCCCTTATTTCTAATTTTGTTGTAGAGAGAGTATAAGCAATAATAGGAAGGAACAAGGGTTTTTGCTGGTTGAGATAAGGATAGCTATACAGGGCATTGACTCACATTGATTTCCTGTGCGTGTGTGTTACCTTCTAGGTTAATTCTTTTTGATCTAACCTTTTCTCTAGTACCTGTTCCCCTTTTCCTATTGGCCTCAGTTGCTTTAAGGTATCTGCTTTAGTTTCTCTGCGTTAAGGGCAAGCACAAAAATTTTTAAATAAATAAAACATCAAGATCAAGCTATAATATCTAGGAAGGCACACCTGAGTGATTAAAACATACTGTCGCAGGCCAGGTGCCAGTGGCTCATGTCTGTAATCCTAGCTACTTGGTACGCAGAGATCAGGAGGATTATGGTTTGAAGCCGTATCGGGCAAACAGTCCATGAGATCCTATTTTGAAAATATCCAACACAAAAAAGGGCTGGTGGAGTGGCTCATGCATGCCTAGCAAGCATGAGGTCGAGTTCAAACCCTAGCACTGCCAAAAAAAAAAAAAATTTACCATGTAGGAAGGTTGTTATTGGAAGAGAGCTCCTAAGGTAGCTGGCACAGGTCTGTCTCCTGCTTGACCTGAGTTCCTCTTACAAAAATATACGCAGATATACATAACAGTATCTGGACTTTATTTTACAATAGCAGATTTAAAACAGCAATGTAAAAGGATGAGATTT